GAATGGGACCTAGTGTGATAAGTGGAAGTCCTGCAATTAAACCATTTACAGGATAGAAGTCAAACAGAACTGAAAGCTTAACTAAAACTCTGCTAGAATAATGAGTTCATGGACGGTGTATATATTTTCACTAGATGTAGTCATCCTGGGAAAAAAAATCCATGTATACTGTATGTACAAGAGTAGTTCCACTAGTGAAAACGCTGTCAGAGCTAAATGGCAAAGATGATGCAGATGTTTCTATTACCCAGACTCATGTAAGTCTCCTCTGCCACCACCAGGCTGTATTCTCACCAGACAGCTACAGTTCTCAATGCCTTCCTATTCTAGGGAGCTCCCCCGCCCCATGCTCTAGAAGTTTGTATGGGACTGAGTGTCTGGAGTTCTGGATTCTCACTTTGCTTCTACCATTGCCATTCCATGACCTGCCAGGTTAAATCACTTCCCTTCTCATTTCTGGGAAGGAAAGGTATTGCTGACTCCCCTCTCCTTGCCAGGGCACCAAAGACAAATTATGTGAAATCTGCAGCGTTTCAGGTGTGCTGGGTATGTAAGAACCTAAAGTGAACCCACATTCTCCAAGACGGGGTTGCATGTGCCTCAATGCTGGGATGCATTCTACCTTTGTTGCAGCGTGGATGAAAGACATGTGGTAGCGAAGCCACCCGTACAATCATTTCACACTGAGGCACTGCTGGAACGCAGCACTACAGCTCCACATCTGCATTGGTTTTCCCTCTCAGCACTATGTATGGAGAACATCCACCTGCTGTAGCTTTCTCTTCCTCCTCTGTGCTGCAGAAGCATTATAAAATGGAGATAATCAGGGCTCAGGATTAAGGCCAGAGTCTCCATCCCTACAGATTTAGAACTTAATTTTAAGTAAAAAGTAAGACAGAGTACTGGTTAGAATGAAGAAGTGATAACACAAATCAGAAGGGACTGCTGTTTCTTCCCAGAGAACAGCAGCTGTTTTCTACAGTGTGTCTTTGTAGGAATGAAACACCTGCCAGAGAAATCTCTCTCAATTTTTGCTGACAAAACATTAAGGTCTGTTGAGGAACCACACATCCAAACTACTAAGTATGATTGTTTTAAGGGTTTTAAAAAAAATCGTTGTTCTGCATGACGATTGCTGAAAGGTTAAGAGCTCCCAGACTTGTCAGTCCTTTTCACAGCCAGACCCCCGCCAAAATCACAGCCATAGAGTTCTACCCGAAGGGCAATACCATGATACCATGTTCTTGGAACAATGCGGATAAACCTGGACAGGATGGGTGGGTTAAAGAAATGCTTGACATGCCTGTCGCTGTTTTCATTACCCAAGAAAACCTGCAAATATACAAACACACAATTAGTTAAAAGGTAGCACTTTAAAAAACCCCAACTCTTCTGCTTCTTTTTAAAATGGTTCCAAGCTGTTCAATCAGCCATCCAGGGTAGATGGACTTGCTCATTGCTGATTTTATGTAAGACCACATCCAGTCTCTTCCTAAAATGCTGGTTCAAAGGTAGATCAGGCTAGCAATACCTGAGTCTGAATTAAACAGTTTCTGCTTCCATCAACACCACAAAATTTGCCATTCTAATTTGGATGGACTGAAAAACCCAAACTTCCCTTATTTTACCTCTGCTAATAGCCCTTGTGGGTTAGGTTGGTGGAAGGTGATATGGGCAACAATATAAAGTACTGTGCCCGCTCTATGGTTATCTGGAGCTCTCCAGCTCCGTTACAGCAGAACTGCTCACTAACATTAATTGCACATATAAAATCAAGGCAGAAATAAAAAAGCTGAGAAGAGGCCCCGGGTAATCCATTGTTCATTCAAATTAAATGTCCCCCTTTACAAATAGTGTCAGCTCCTTTTATCACAATGTTGACTGCATTCTCTACAGATGTAGTGTTCTTTCCTTTTATTATTGTTAATTACTATGACCAAAATCAGATAGATATTATGACATTATCTGTAGTAATCCCAGCTCCCTAGCATTTTAAAGTCCTCTAAGAATATCACTTTCACTGGCTATTCTGCCTTTGGGCCTTGACTGTGCCTAGCATATAAAACCAAGCAACAATTCAATTGCCTGAGCTGAGGACAATACCTTTGCCACTGAGCTTGAACCATCTGTATAGGATTTCCACTCTAAGCCATGGTCGCTGTATAGGATAACATAGGTTTTCACAAAGTTTTCAGCAGTTATGGACTTGACCCCCTGGGTAGCAATAGCAGTTATCTTTTTAATTGTAAGGAGATCAATTTGCAGCCACTGTTGGTTGTTGTTCACCTACAATTGATAAAATGGTTGTGTATTAGCAAACATGTCTATGTCTTTATTTGCTTAAGTGAAAAAACCCTGTTTAAAGACAGTTAAAACCGCATCAGAATTGTATCAAAGAAGTGCAGGAGAGTGAAGCTGAGGCAAAAGTTACAAGCGTTCTTGGTGGCCCATACAATTCTTCAGTGCAGATGGTATATTTGGTGTCTTAAGGTTTCCACATCGATTTCCAATACATAATGAAAAATAACACAGATTTATCTCCAGTATTAAGATGCAATACATAATAGTAACGCCAAATGCTTGCTCAAAACTTCCATCAAATAGTAGCTTCCATCAAACCTCAAGGTACTTCATAAAGAAATGCAGCTCCATTTTGAAGACACAGAAGCTTACATGCCTTGAAGGTCATCCACCCCCAGATCCATTAAAAGCTGCACTGCCTATAAACCAACCCACAAAGGGTTTCTTTAACCCCTTGGAGCCAAATATTCAACTTGTATTCATGTCCTGACATTCAAAGGGCCATTTCTGCAGGGAATTGCTGCAGGCCCTGGCCCAGAGGACACCATCCATCTCTGAAAAATATGATTTCATTGCTGTTGCCAGAAGTTCAACAAGTTTTCTACCAGAAATGTTGAATGGGCTTCTTTGCAAAGGATGGCTAAAGAGTTGTGAAGTAACCCTCTCACACTTGTCACTGGACACAGCATGCAGGAATTGCATGAGCACACAGGCAGCACAAATTTATTAACTGTAGTTGTCTTACTGTCGTCCTTATTTTTCACTTGTTACCTTGGCTCGCCAGGCATTAATCTTTCCTTTCTGATTGAGACGAGCAAGTGAAGGGTCCCATGTGTTAAACCAGGATGTCTTAACAGATGAGGCTGTTATCTGGGTATTCTTGATGTCTCCATTTTCCATTCCAAGTGGCAAAGAACAACCTGTTAAGAGAAGGACCATGTTATCTCCAGTTCATCCAAGTTGCCATACCCTAAGCAACAATGTTGGAATTGAGAACACCCACAATTTTAGCTTCATTTAACGTATTAGGTATAAAATTAGCCAGAAAGGAAGCACGAGCACACGACCCATTCTTACCGTCTACTTCACAGCCCAGAAGTTCCATGCGAAGCGTAGGCCTGTTGTAGGCCTGGATTGGGTAGACTCTGATGTACCTAGCAATAATAGGAGGATCAATGTTGTTCTCTTTTACCCCATAGGCATCGGAATTACCTTCAAAAATCTATTTAAAAATAAAAGAAAATATATCAACATATAGTTAATTTAACGCAAACACAAGCTTAGATGCTCAAAACCTGCTCTGTTACAAAAGCGGTCTTTTTTACACCATTAGGCCCCTCCACGGTGATGGAGCGCCCTATGCTGCAGGGCAACTTGAAATATTTCATGGTCCTGTCTTAGCATATTTGGAAGCACCTGAAGGGCTCAGTTCAAATAACAAACCCATTAATAAAGAGGCAAAAGGAGAGGTAAGAAACAACAGCTCTTCAATTTGGGAATTGTACCATAGAAACCTCAGAAAACTCAAAGTTTACCAGTAATTGGTAGGGCTGGAGCAGCTGGGCATAAAATAAACCTCTTTCAGGGTACGACCACACTTATTACACAGGCCTTCTGCAGGCAATTCAGACAGTTTAACATTCAACTGTTATAACAGCAGAAAGGGAGGCACAAGAAGGATCTAACCCCAAATGAGGTAGGGCTTGATTTTTAGTTCAGCTTCCTGCTTGTTTCCAAAAGGCTGACATGGGCTTAGGAAATAAGAGTAGGGAGATATGCTTGTCAGAAAGCCAGACTTAATATAATCAAGGTCACAGGGCCAATCTAATACCCAGTCAAGAAAGTTCCTCATCTTACAATTTGTCTTCTGGTCTGAATTTCATTAGATTGGTAAATGCTCTTTGGGTCTGTATTATTAAGACTCTGAAGGCCATAGTTTTTTCCACTATCTCCTAACAAAGTAAAACTGTCCCCTCACTGCATCATCCAATGGTGCTACCTAGGTTGTCGCAACCCCTATGGCACATACAGACCTTTTGTGCTGGAGAGCTGTCTCCTCTGAAGGTGCTCCACACCCGTTTGTCTTTGCTGTAAACAATAAAAAACTTCTGGATGTACAAGGACTTTAAAAACTGCTTGGCTCCCTGCGTCTGTATTCCAGTTAACAGAACTTGTCTTTGAAAGTCCACCTAGGAACAGCAAACAGTGTTTATAAAGCCAGTACCGCACAGTGAAATCCATTTCATTCTTTGGTATCTACACAATAGCTTTGAGCCTTACATTTTAACACCCACAACACTAACACTCAGAAGGAACAACCACCAAACACCAGAGTCCAAATTAATGCTAAATCGTTCTCATTTCATTCGTGTATTTATTTCTAATTTCAGCCTCTAATTTCAGAGGCTGTTTTACAGCGTTCAGCACAGCACCATAGAGACACTGCAAAAATATCTGCATCTTCATGGTAGGCAGAACACCGCTATCCCCATGTTACAGATAGGCAGAAGGGGTATAGAGAAATTAAAGTCTCACATTTTCATAAGTTGCCTCTAGTTTTGGGCATCCAGGCTGAGAAAAGGCATATGACATTCTGAAGTGCTGAAAAGCCACCATTCCTGTTGATACCAGATCCAAGCACTTAGGAACATCTTGCTGTTTTTACGTGCTATCAGCAGCAAAACTAATTTTTGGGGACATGCCCTCCACATCTCTGCATGCTTTACTGCAGTAACCTCAGCTTCTCACCATCATGCCACCTATCTAATTCTTTCTTCTGCCAACATTATTTCCAGTTCCACATCAGATCTCCCAATCTTCTGCCCCTACTTCACCTGCATATCAAACATTAGCAAGCCAAACACAACAGCCACGTGTTGAATTCACACTGCAACATTTTTCTCCCAACTGCCAATTTTAAGGAGATTTGTAAGAAATCAACTATCCTTCGTAAATTTGGGTGCAAAATGGCTTCCTGATGCAAAAACGATTGGGATGGAAGAAAAAGATGGAAGAAGTGAGGTGACTGAATCATAGCGCTTGAAGCCATAATTATAAGCTTAATTTCCCTTTGAAGCCACACTGTGCTGTGTCAAGTTGGACACAGAAGCATTCAAACTAACCAATCAAAAAGCTCTTTGAAGCAATGTTTGAATATTACACTTTAAATGATCACCCCAAACACATACATATAAATATGTGCTGCTGGGTAGATAGAGGAAAAAAAAAAAAAAAAAACAAACAGTAGAAAGAATGACTCCATTTGCCCACAAAATGGTTACAGTCTAAACTGTGAGGGTCACTGTCCAGTCAATGGATCTCAACAGCAGTAGAGACTGGGTTACTCCAGGGCAGGTGGACAGTTTATGGCACCACCAATCAAACTTGCTGTATCTTTTCAGTTTTCCCCAACAGTCTTCTCAGTGAGAACAAGAGCAGCTTGACCTTCTAAGACAAGTTGTAGGAAAACTGCAACTCAGTGATGGGCAAGCACATGTTGTACCAACCATACCTGGATCCAAGGGAGTTGTTGTTCTTTCATTGTAGTGCTCCAAGCATTGTATGTTCCAGAATTGTTTAATCGGGCTAACTTGGGTTCCCAGTACTCTAGACAGAAAATATGAATAAAGCAAGTATTTAAACAGAGGTGCTGGATGAGAAATGGAGGCTGTAACTAGCTACTGATGTTTAGTGCTTCAGTTCCTTTCCCATCTGTCTTGGGGGGCAGGTGGGGGGAACTCCAATCAACCAAGAGACTCTAAACCCATAATCTAGGATAATTTGGACATGGTCAGCAACTGAAAGTCAGCTGTTACTCTGCAAAGTTTTATAGTTGGCAGAATGACTTTGAATGTAACAGCCTTTTATGTTACGTACTGTCTACTAACTTGGAACCAGGGTCCAGAGTTTACTAGACAAGTTTTGGCCACCAGCAGGATCAGACAAAAAAATGTGCTCTACATTCACGGAAGAGAGCCGCCCTCTGCATAAGGAGGTTTCCATGTTAACAACTGATATGGAATATATATATGACAAACACAGCTTTCAAGCCTTAATAACACTGTGGCAAGAAATGAAAAAATAAAATTAAATCCACAGAAAATCCAGTTTTCCACAATGAATCATTTATTTGTTATTTCAAGGGAAAGGATGTGTGCTCCTGCATGTGCATGTAACCTGTATACCTTGATTTGCCACTGTCCATGTAAAATGCTATCCATTTCTCTACCAAATGATCCACTTCTATACCAGGAATAAACTTGGTAAATTAAAGACACTCTCTGCTCTGGATGCCAGGTTCCCAAGTCTTTCCTAATAGATACACTTTGTCCTTTCACATCTCATACTACATGCAAATCTCAAAAGCTTTTTGAACACTTGGTGTTCATTTTCAAGCAGGGAACCTGAAGGACAAAAAGATAATGCCGGATTTGTTCCAGGTCATCTAGCAGGCCACAGAGGACTCCCTGACTCTCAAGCTTGTGATACTGACAGTAAACCTGTGACACTGTTAAAATACAATGATGAGGGCAACCTAATACAGCTCACAGTCTCTGCTTGAAGCATTGGAGAGTTTTTTAACCCAAGAGTTGATTCACTGCCGTACCGATTTTGCAAGACATATAATGAGATGCCAAAAAAATACGGAACTGCAATACTTTGCCAAGGATATTCAGGAGCATGCCCAGACCTTTTCAAGTATTAACTCACCTATATGATCTGAAGCGCTGATTTGTGAATCGAGTATAACTCCACCTGCTAGACCCATTGGACTCCTGCACTCTAAAGACAGCACAGTAAGTTTGTGGTCAAAGACAAGGAGAGCTGTTCCAATATATATTCTGGTGGAACCTTCTAAGACAACATCACTCAGAACAATTCTTAGTAATACAGTAACATCACCGTCCCAGAGAAGGCCAAGTTAACCCCTGCAATTTCTCTCAACAGGTTAATCCACTGGTCACTGTGAGGAAACCTCAAATTCAAAGCTAATATGCTAAAGGAATAGAAGGTAGCATGCTAAGTAATTCAAACCTAGTATGCTAGAGGCTAAACTTTTTTTCTTCTAGAACAAGTTTACAGTAACTACTCCACCCCCTCCTTGAATGAACAGAGAATCCACTTTGTTTTTTTGCAGAACAATCTCCCAAATTTATTTTTAGCGATCCTGAAAGGGTAGAGATGACTTTATAGCTTGACTCCCCCAGCCAAAAACCACCTTAGTTCAGTACCTTTCTCTATAACCAAATAGGATGCCTGCATCCCTGCTTGCTGATATTCCCCCACTTCAGTGTCTAAAAGCCACCAGCCAGGTCTCTGTGGTTTCATTTCAATTGTTCTGAATGAGCCTTGGAAAAAACAGAAGAGAAACACATCGGAAACGTTAGCACTATAAGGTTGATGTTAGCAAGGCTGCATGTTACACCAAAGAGCATCCTATGACTTAATCCGGAAAAATGAAATAACTTGCTACACATTGCAGAGAGAGCAGTATCTACCACCGTCTCAATCATTTTTTTTCTTAGCAAGCAAGTTCCAGCTGGAGACTGAGACTGGAATTAAGTGACCAGATCAAAACCTAGCCTTTGCTGCTGGTGCAAAGTACAAAACCTTGGATGCCTGCACGTAACGACAGCACGTTAAGTACAGTGCTGAGCCATGTAATGAATGGTGATATTAAATTTACTACATAATGTGGAGATGTTAAGTCTGTGGTTCTTACTCCTGCTGCCCTGGTGTGTTGTTCAAGTAATGTAAAGGATGGATGTAAAGTAGCCAAAAGTAGATGTGGGAGAATAGGATGTATGGGCCCTCCCCTCACTTCCTGCGTGCCTCAGGAGCGCCAAGGATTAAGCGAGAAGCAGATATGGTTTAGGCTGTTTGCTTCACTTTTTAGAAAGCACAGTACATGCTTCATTGTTTTTCTTATATTCCTAGTTAGTGCAGACATGATAATTCTGGTTCCCATCTAAACAAGAACATATGTAAACACCACCTTAAAAAGCTTAAATAGTGAATAAACCACCTAAAGTTCATTAAAGTAAACTCCTATTATTCCAAGTCAATTCTATTCTTGTTGCCTGTTTTTTTTGGTTGTGATTTTTTTTTTTTTTTAAAACACTTGTAGCTGGCAATGCAGGTTTCATAAGTGCTGTTACTGCACATTCACACTGCTGACAGCGATGGGCCACAGAATATATCCTGTGGCCTAATGAATGCTTTTAGCCTATTTCCTTTCTCCTTGGACATAAGAATTCTCCTAGGGCTCACATTTGTTCTTTGTCTTCTGTATCACACTCACCTTGACATTACAAAAATAAAACCTTTACCATACTGAGCCAGATACCAACAGTATTTCCCAGCAAACATGAGTTTGCTATTGTACATGCATCATTTCACAAGGAATCGGTGTCTGACACTATCCTGACTTCATTTTTCCCAACACTGACCTTTGTTGTTGAGCACTTTCCAAAGCCAAGCCCAGCACTACGACCTACTTTGCAGGTAGGAGAAAAGAGACGCAATAAAGGAGAGAAACCCGTTCACGCTCACATATCTGGTGAGTGGTAAGGGAAGTGCAAAACTGAAGGTAGTGCTGCAGGCCATACTGCTATTCATTTTCCACATATATCCCTTCTCATCTGAGAGGAAGAGATTTGTCCAAGCACTACATTTTGTCTGTAACTTTACTAGCATTTCCAGTTTTAAAGGGCAGCAATGTTATCTTTATTTCCTTCCTCCCACAGTGTTAAGTGAGGTGCAAAGTGATGATTTTCCTTCTGACTATCATAGGCAAATGAACTGTTAGTGCTCTCAAACTCTTTCTTACTGTGCTCAAAACCGATTTCTGTTCACCTTTACATTTGTATGATGACAACAGACTGCAGTGGTCACCCCTTGGAACTTACTCTGCTCTGATGCTTACCTGGAAGGAGTGTGTATGTACCAAGCTGATGCTTTGGCTTTCCTTGTTCTATGAAGGTCTGTCCATGAAAATGAACAACGTGAATGTCTTTTGGCCCACCCATATTCAGCAAATGCCATCGGACCAGTTCACCTTCATACATCCTCAAGCCTTGCAAATTGTAGCTAATCCCATTAATGGCTGAAAAAAAAAAAAAATTGTTAGTAAGGAAAACCACTTACAAAAAAGGTCTCAAAGTGCTAGAATGTGGTTATTAAAATGAGTAAAATATTTAATGAAGTAATGCATTTGGGAAAACCACCAGTTTTTCCAATTCAAAGTGCTACACACTTTATAGTCTATGTACATCAATTCAGAAAATCCTGGGACCTCATCAGAGGATTTGAGCACAGTTTGCTTGCAACACATGGCAGCCAGGAGAACACAAGGGTGTAAGTGATTAAGTGTCAGATGGGAACACCAGGTCCAAAAGAAAGAAAAGCTATCCAAAACATGTCCTGCAGCTTACATTTCCACAGCTGTACAGTCACAATTGACATTGATTAATAACTTTTCAAAAGGCAGATTCCAGTTCTCAACATGCCTTTTACAAACATGATCACTCAGAGCACACAAGCATCAGGTTTTCAAAGACAGAAACATAGAGTTTTGTTACTGACCATTACTTCAAAGAGAAAAAACGGTTCCATTTGAACAGTCAGCCACTTACTTTACACGACTAAAATCTCTGTATCCACAGAGAGGTATATGAAGGGGGGGGTCCTACAGCTGCTTCAAATTCCTCAGTAGAACTAGATGATTTATCAAATTATTACAATGTTTTTAAATTTCTTGCAAAAAGTTTTCCGGGTATTAGCTTCTTACCGAAAAGAGGGTTTCTTTGGTTTTCTTTTTTTTTTTAAAAATATGCAGGGCGGATGTGAGTGAGAGAGAGGAGATTTCTGTTGAAAGTTTCAGTCCTTTTTTAGTTTTAATAAATTTCCAGTCACAGCTAATCTTTACATATAAACCCATGACTATTATGGGTACAAGGGAGAACAACAAAAAACCATTAACATGTACAATTCATGCATGTTCAAAGGCACTGTGAGCTGAGATACTTCCCCCAACACCCTTCCCTCTACCCCAATAAACCAAATACTTGGCAAAATGAAATAAGTACCATAGAATTTGTGGCATTGCTGCATTTCTTGTGTCTTTTCAGTACAAGGCCTTCTAGAACGTTTGTCAAAGTACCAGCTTTTCTCTTCATCAAAGACCATAAAAAGCAAGAAAAAGTCTCGCGTTGATGTTCTGCTGTTGTCTGACTTACTGAAGGTTCCTTTTTGACAGATCAGTATTGGCCCAATCAAACCAGAGTGAATATCTTTCTCCTAGAAGATAATGAACTCAGATGTAAAAGTGTATTTCCCAAAAGATGTAAACAGCCCATAGCATTCTGTAGAAATGCATCAGGCCCTAAAAATTTAAAGCAGAGGCCAGAATTGCTGTTGCCTTGTGTCCTTACTTTCTCCTGCTCAGTCTACCAAAGAGTTCTCCAATTTGAATTCTTCAACAGCTTTTAATCTCTTACCCTCAGTTAAAAGAGGATATGTGTCAGATGGGAACATCAGGCCCAAAAGAAAGGACAGCGATACAAAATGTGTCCTGCAGCTTGCATTTCTACAGCCATACAGTAACACCATTTGGAGATACTCAAAACCTGACCAGATATGGTCCTGGACAACCTACTCTAGCTGACCCTGCTTGAGTTGGGGGGGGTGGATTAGTTTATCTCTAGTGATCCCTTCCAGCATAAATATTTCTGTGATCAACACTATCACTTCTATTTTGATTTCTTTACCAGATTTAAATCGGAGTAGTAGATCCAAGACCGACAAGCTGCTCCTGACTGCACAGGTCCTGATCGCCTGTTTGCATACCATACATATATATAGCTGTTATTTGGCTGAACTTTGTCATCTTCCTTAAACCAAGGAGTAGATTCATCATCATAAAAGCTTCCCTCAGAGGACTTTTCATAGAGGAGCCCGTGAGCATGGAGGGAATATGGTCTGGATGCCAGATTCTTAAAATGAACCTAAAAAAAAGAAAAAATAGATTCTGTTCAGCAAATTCAGGCCTAAACAAAAGTCCTCACACAACACAATCCCATGACCTCAAACCAGGGCCAAGATTTGTGTAACAATTACAGGTTACGCTGTGCATGGCAAAGCTGGCAGCAATAGCTTTTGACATCTCCATGCAGAATCACCCTTTTTGATGCAAGCAGTTAATTAAAAAGTAGAAAGCATGAGTTTAACTCCCTGTGTTCCACTGAGTCTAGGTTCCTAGGACTTCTACTGCTGCCCTTCACACCTGGATATGTATAGGCACAGCAAGCAGGGAGGTGGGGAGTTTCTACCTCTTATGCTTTGCTGCACAATTGCACTAAAGGACACAAAATTCTAACACTAGACCTCTGTACATACCACTCTCACTGAAATCAGTGCTTCTCACTTGTCAGAGAATCATTAGTATAGGGAGATGACATAGTTACCTCTCCTTACAGAATGCCGCTCCCAAGCTAAAATAGCTTCTTTCTTCTCTTACTCAGTGTTTTTAAATGTAGCTCAATGTGTTCCCATTGTACACTACTCCTACCAAAATAAGCAGAAAGCAGTGAGATCTACTCTCCCCATCTAAGTCTGTCCCTGTGTGTTGGAAGACTGGATGAAGAAGGATGATAGAAGGGAAACTGTACAGCAATGTGCTTCCTAATGCAAATACACCATTCTGTCACCAGGGATACAGTTCCTCTCCATCCCTGTTGTTTGTATTAGAACTAAACAACTCATTTACAGCAAAATTTTTCAGAGGAAAATACACTTTATTGACAAATACGTATATTCATCCTGAATACGTATTTACTAATTTCTTTTTAAAACATTAAGAAGCTTCCTTTACTTATAAAGAGTAATATTTTCAGTGCAATTTGTGTTTAAAAAACTTAATTTTTTTTAATGTTAAACTTAAATCCCCTTTTACATTAGATGATAAGCTACTATTCAATGTTGGGAAGCATAAGAAAGTGAATTTACTGCGGACAGGAAAGAAAAAGGCTGTGTTTCGAAGAAACACATCACTGTGCTTGTATGCCCACACTGCAATTTCCAGCTTTGAAAGCTGTTTCCCCACCATCATCTTTTAAAAATCTGTGGTATTTTTAAGACCCATTCTATGTCATACGGAGATCACCATAAGAATCTTATCCTGCACACAAATTCAAAACATTGACCTACTAGGATAACATCGTCCACTTCAGCCTGGATAACTGGCCCCAGGATGCCAAGGTGTTCTTTATATTCATCTTCATCCTGAAGAGTTGTAAAGGTACTGTCTGTATAACTTTGGAAAATCACCTTATATGTGCTGCCATCTTTACAGGTTTTGTCACTCATCATTTTACTGAAAGGAATAAAAACACACACAGTGAATCAGAAATAATAGCTTTGATGAAATCTGAGAACACATACAGCAGGAACATTTTAGAATATAAAGAATAAACACACAAATGAATGTCAGATGATTCTGAAAATCATGACTTGCAATCTTTAAGCAATTCTAATTCTACAGTTGTATATGAGATCCTTCAAAGATTTGGTCAGTTATCACTGAAAAACTCCAACTAGTCTGAAAACCCACCAGAGCTCTATTTTCCTTTTTTACCATTAGCCTTAATAATCTGAATCAGAGTTTAGTTCAGAATGTAGCAAGCCTATAACCCTACTGCCTCACAGGTGTACCTTCTCTGGAAAGCTAACACACTTGACATTTGATTATACCTGCATTTTGCAACACAGAGCTGGTAAAAAAACAAAAAGCTTTTAGGTATTCAAACCATTCTTCAGATCTTAAATAGAAGCACCAAAAATGCTATTATCTGATAAAACACATTATCATTTTTTATAAACTGTGCCTCATTAACAATTCTGCAAATCAACCAGTAACTTAACCAAAGTTACCTAGTAGGAAGAAAGGCTGTTTTTCAGCTCGTTAGCACACTGAGACAGTATATGCTATGGGCTCTGTTAATTTCACTGGAACAATGCACCTCATACCAGCTGCGGATGAACCTCACTGGGGAGATCTATATAGAGCTCTGAGCATAAGACTTAGTTTGCAAGGGCACAAAGAAACTGTCTGGTTTCTGCCAGTTTTGCAAGTGCCATTTATATGGACTGAGATGAGGCAGGGGTAAACCTGGAGTATACTGCAAAAGTGTGTGTGGGGAAAATATCAAATAAAATGGACATTCAATTTGAGAAATAATATATGTTTGGAGCTGAATTTTGTACAATGACAATTTTCTTGCTCCTGTTTCTGCTTCTTTTGATAAAGACCTGAAGTTGTGGCAGTCTTAGTCTTGTTCATTTCAAAGGCCACAAAGTTTAGCTTTTTAATGAAAAGTGACTGGGAATTGCACACATTGTAGGGTGAGCACTGATCCTAATTTGTATGATTAAGTTAATGAATTTTTAGTAGAGTTTCTCTTGAGTCACATATACTCTTTGCTGTGGCATAGCAGCCAGTCCTCCCTATGTAAGAAACCCCCTCAACATTACAGTTTGTGATCCAGCCGCCTCCTGATTTCTCTAAACAGTAGGAACAACAATGTAGTAATTCATGCAGCTTTATTTTGACTTCAAGTATAAGGCAGTCACCAGTGTGCTTAATCACTTTGCATCTTTCATATATTTTTCAGTACTGCAGCCTTGTGAAGTTGGAAAGTGCTATTATCCCATTTTACAACAGAACTGAGACACCAGACACACCTCTTGCTAGTGCTAGAAACTGACTTCATCCTGCCTATAAGCACATCCTGTCTATATTAGATCAGTCAGCCCATTAAATTCCTGGGAAGACTTTGTACAAAGAGGTCACTATCCTGTCTCTACTACAGAATCCAAGAACTCAAGGAGGAAGTAAAACAGGTCATTCAAGTATAACCTTGGGGAGTCCCAGCATCCCATGGAAAATTCTTAAGGTTCTGCAACTGAAGTGTTGGAAATCACATTGCACATTTCAGATGCTCTTAAATTTACCAGCATATGAATCAGCATTCTGCTAGCATGTATCAGGATGGTGTGCAAAATGAAAGCAAATTATGTCGCCCAACCTTTTTTTATGTCCTTCATAGTTCCAGCAGACCTCTTCAGCTGCAATGTAGTATCTTCTCTCATTCCCTTTGCTACGCAGGTAATGTTCAGCAATGTTGTCTGGGTTACGTTGTTCATTGATATTCACTTTTGGATCTGTCATGTATGGGTCATCGAAGTTCACATAATGGTATTCATATTCACCACCTGATGTTTCTTCATCGTAAGATCCTTCCGTAAAATACTCATAGTCTCCATTTTCTTGGGGAAGCCCAATCACGATCGATGGCTTAAACTGCCGTGGGGTAAGCGTGTCATTTAGCAACTCTCCACGCCTGGCTCTACTCAGATCCGCTGTATGGTTGGCCTCACCGGGTGCCCCTGTGGTGTTAGTGCAACATGGCAGTGTCGTGTAGTTTGTCTCACCTGGCAACAACGTACGGCCAAACCCTGCCATAGAATTGATGATATTTTGGGGCTTTTTACTCCTTGGGCTCAGCAAGTGAGCCATTTTTGGATATTCCTTTTTTTTCCTTCGGATCTTGATGGTACTCAAAGTACCATTCTTGATCCTCTCCTTTCCTTTCAGAGTTGGGTGCATGCTCCCTTTCTGGTTTTCTCCCATTAGATATAAGAACCCTCGATATTTCTTCATGTGCATCTTATTTATGAATGCTGTACCATTTCTGCCATGATGATTTAACTTACCACTAACAGATTTGTCTAAATTTGCCTCCAACCCCAGACTCTCCTTTGCAGACACCAAATTCCATTCCTCGTTTGTCATTTTAGATGAGTATTTCCCAGCCCTGGGTAATGATGCTTCTACTAAGTTCTTCACTAGCGCAGGGCTGGAATTAGGACTTATATTGCCTAATGTACGATCTAAAGAAAAAGCGTTTGCTTGTTCATCTTTGGATAGCTTGGGTTCAGAGAGGCTGGATGCATTAGACCCATCTCCTACCATGAGGTCCAAAGCAAGCGTCAAGTTAACTGCACGCATGGCATTTTCCATCTTGGTTTCCTCCTCTTCCAGTTCATCATCGTAATCATTTGGGAGCTGACCAGTTCCCACCATGTCTGTATCGGATGTGTTCTCTGAATGATGCACAGAATGAGCTGCACTTGTGTTGTCAAAAAAGGAGACATTTTTATGTCGTACATGATTTAGAAGGGTCTTCATCTTTTGGACGGCGTAAAACTTAGTGGCCAGTGAGTTTCGCCTTTTCCTTTTACTGTTAACATTATAATTTCCTCTTCCTGGGCTTTCCTCTTGATGCTTTTCTGAAAAAAAATTACTGTCCTTTCCATCAGTTGGAAGCTCTCTTGCAACATCCAATTGGCTTTCCCCATTGCTCAGCAAATGTTCACCTGCAGACATGTTACTGTGATCTATTTCATAATTGCTTTGGCTTCTGTTCTCAAATACCAAGTTAGCCTTCCCATCACTTGTGCTAGCTAAAAATAAGTCCTCTTCTGCTGTGAGTGATGTGTGATTTGACTGGAATGTTTCAGCCTCAATGGGCTGAAGAGGAGTGACATGAGTTTCTAAGAACACAGAGGTGTTTGTGGATTCACTCCTATTTATAGCTCTCAGACCAGAGACAGCTGCCACCTCAGAATTCATAGCATCAGTGCCTTCATACTGTTCCCAGGCCAGTGCTGTAAGGTTTTGTTTTTCTTCATCACCTGTTGCCTTCCTTAAGCTCCGGATGGAGTAAAAAGAAGCCAGGTAATTCTGATAATCCAAATCCTCCTGATCTTCTGGCACATCATCTTCAACTGAGGCAGAAACAGCCTTTTTATCAGTCTTAGTGTAAGTGAAATCCACAACATCAAATGTGTAATCTTCCTCATAGTCACATCTGGCGTCTCGGAATCTCAGCCTCATGCCATAACTCATCTCTGGGGTACCCCAGGATGCTAGGAGCCAAGTACCTGCAATTGAAATAAGTGTTTTTCTGATATGCAGTAGTTACGAGAGTGGACATTGCCAATCATGTAAACGGTCAGGGCAAGTGGCTAGGTTTGTTTCTACAGCACCTGCTATTGCAGAGTGCTAATCCTCATCTGGCATTTCCATGAGCTCTCAATGCAATGACAAATAATTAATAAATGAAAATAATAACAGCACATATAAATAAATACATCTAAGAGCTGGAGTTCTTCTCCACGGATTAAGCTACACCTAGGACCCAAGCCCAAACACAACCTGTAAAAAAAACCAAACAATATAAAAGAAAAAACCTCAAACAATATAAAGGATCCTCTGTCTAGATCTGGATCTAAGACTGCGATCTTTTGAGATCAAGTTTTAATTTTGTTCTGTCCTTAGTGTTGTATGTATTGCCACACAGATATGTTCTGAGGCAATGCTGACAAACATCTGACGCTCGCAGAACTTTAAAAGCTTTTGAATGCATAAAGGGTCAGCTTTAAAAGAATAAAGTAATTTGAATTTCCAATCTGGACACAAAACATTAAGCTGCCAATCTGAAGCATCTTCAATTAACTTAAAGGTTTTAATAATTCCTCCAAAACCTAGTCAGAAGTTCTCCGTTTGAAATTAGGATCTGCAGAGACACAATACAATCTGTTTCCTTAAACAGCATCAAATCAAGTTTTTTGCTTGTTACAGCTTGCTTTTGGAACTAGCAGAGATTACAGAACAGTCAGAATTAACAGAGCTTTAGAAAACCAGCCACATACATTTTTTTCTGTATTTATCAGAATTTGAAGTGACCTGTGCAGCTTTCCTGATTTCTAACAGCAGCAAATTTACAAAAGAAAACGTGCCTTAGATGGAAAGAACAGACCACATACCAAAAATCAAGCAAAAGTGCAATTTCATTACTGGGGAGATTTCCATAAAGTCTGACGGAGTTTTAATGATCACACTGTCTTGAACAATAAAAGCCACATACATTTTAAACTTACAAGGTCTTGATGCTGTGCAATCACCAATACCAAGCTTTGAAGACAATGAATTTGTTTATATTTAAATAGATATTAAAAAAATTGGTATTTTAAATAGGATAAGTATTCCTAAACCTTGGGGGATTTTAGGATGATCACTGAACACTCACAGCTTTCAATGAGGAAGAGTCTTTTGCAGATAATTCCATGAGTGTGCACTACATGAGTTCTAGTGTCACCTTTTCAAGACATGGTATTAATATTCAAGATAAGTATTATAATTCAAGATAGGTATCTAATCCTAGTTAGAAATTGAGATGTATACTGATGGACCAGTGATCTGATTCAGTCAGGCAGACTTTACTGCTGTTAAACGACCACAAGCCTAAGCTAAGGAGTAGCCACTTTTCCCAATAATGTCAAACATAATTTGACAATGTTGCCCTATTTTAGCTAACTCAGGATGGACAAGTATGTGGCAGAGCTGGGAATCATACAGTGAGTTTATACTGGATTGTTTCCAAGGACAATCTTAGAATTGCCTTAAGATGATCACTGCGGACTCCAATACTATTTGTGAAGTAAAAAAACCCAACCCAAACAAAAAACAACAAAAAGAGCCTCAGTATAGCATAAAATTACGCTATGTGTTAAGCCTGTGTAGCCAACAAAACTCCATACACATCAGTTCACTGGGGAGTGATTCAACATTTTTCAGCACCGTGTTTATCTGAAAAGCTTTCTTTCCTATTCAGGTAAGTCTTCTGGACTGGAGATTAAAAAACATCTTAGAAGAGCTGTCAAACACTGTAGTTTTACCACTTACCAACATTGTCCATTTCCACTGTGACCGATTCTCCACTCATTGGGAAAAGGTTCAAGACATCTTCATATTTCCCTTGATACAGAAAGGAGTGCCCAGAAAGGCGAACAGAGACAATCTCATCATAGGTGCCAATACTGGAGAAGTGCCACTGAATCACATTATCTTGGCAAAATCCAAGGATTTCACTGCTGTCAGACACATAGCCATTTATTGCTAAAACAAAAGCAAATTAAAGTGGTCTCAATATTTTCAGAGTAAGACTCTTAAAACCTCTCGTTCTTTGATGTCAGTCCACTGAACTGGACTCACATTTGCACCTGGAAAGAGACTGGCACAGGGCTGAAACCACCGTAGCCTTGGTGGAGGTTCCAGCTCTGGAAATAGTATCTTTAAGGCAGCAGGGTGCTGCATCGAACTTAAATAACCCTTGCCTTTGCTTCAGGGTCCAGAGCCAGACTGGTCCCTAAAACACTGCACATTTCTGTCGGTGCCACCTGGCATGGTTAGAAATTCACTGAGTCTCTGGAGAATTCTCTGGTTGCACTGAAAGCAAGTAATCACCGAATGCTCCAGTTCACATGAGCTTTCCTAACATTCAGCTTCATATCCCACTCACTGTGCATTATGTTTGAGTTATAGAACTTGGGGTCATCCCTTTTAACACTGGCAGGGTGGCTGCAGTAGTCCTTGATGTTATCCTCTATGTACCAGCTCTTGTTCTCATCGAACACAGCAAACACTGCCTGCTGCTCCCCATCTGCCTTTTTCTGAAAGACAATCAACACAGCAATTACATTTTATGAGCAGAGACATATTAAGGACTCAATCCTACTATCTTTCTTTCTTACTATATAAGGAATATAAGCTTCAGAGTTGTGTAAGTGTGATCCAAGTGCTAAGTGAAAGGGAGTAGAGGGTCAAGACTTCAAGGTGACATCCTACTACTGCAACCAACCTGTGGTGGAGCACTGAGCAAGCCACTAGCACTGCTGATACTAGATAGTATATGACTGGGCCCTCTGTAAAAGGATCAGCTTCCTGGTTTGACCTAAGCACAAGCTTTTGACATCTTTCTTACAAGCAATGCTCAAGTCTTTGCCAAGAAAGATTTCAACGGATGGCAAAGAGAACCACTCTCAGAACTCTCCCGTGCTGTTTGGGTTGTTCTGGATTTAGTTATGCCTGAGATTGTCAGACCCTGTTGAGATATCTGTTACAGAAAGGAATCAGCTCAGATCTGAATGTCTTCAGAGTGTGAAGGTATAATAGCAGCAGGAAAGTTCATTATCGAGTTTAGAAAGAGACTTTCAAGTCAGGTTGACCTTTTGTTGAAATGCTTCTCTTGCTAAGAAAATCAGAACGTAATTTCTCTACTGCTGTGGACAGTTAGAGGACTGTTTCTTCAAGCGTTTCTTCAGGAGCCTATTGGTTTAATTGCTCTCTACAGGACAGTTCTCCAAGGGGAGCAAAACCAAATTCACTGTAGATCAAATAGTATTTTTTGAGCAAAATCTACCTCAAAGAAGTTGCTAAACATGTTACCTGAACACCCTTCTGTGTCAATGCTTCACTCTTACAAATCAGAAGCGGGCCAATCAGTCCAGAGGCTATATCTCTCTCAATATCTACAGCACTATGATATAGCCTTGTAATACATTGCGCATCCTGTGCAGTTGGTTGGTCCGTTTTAGAAATTTTCCATTCATAAGTGTATGTCTTCCCTGGTTCAATTCCTCTACTCTGGGTGGCATTGCCTAAGGAAAAATTAAAAAGAAGAACAGCAATGATACAAACTTAGAGCCAGATCTTTATATAACATCAGGCTGCACCTTTTAATAAAATTGGTGCAGTTATGCCATTTCAAGCAACCTCCGAGATAACTGAAGTTCAGTGTGAACTTTTGTGTCTCTCCAAAATCACAAACGAGAACAGAAAACTAAGACACCAAAACAGGGTATTTGTCTATGCTTTGCAGACAATACCTTGGTTTCTCTATAAGGCAACACAACAGGTCAGCAGAGGCAGAACACAGAATTGAGGTCCCCCAGTCACGCACATTCCTAGCCACAGTGTCTCCTTCAAAACAATGAAGCCTCCACAACAGTTAGCTGTATGCAAAATGTAATTCACAAATTTCTTACTTGTGGGATCCAGAGGATAATCAGCTCCTTCTGCAGTCTTTGAAAGTGTCACTCCATGGAAGTAAATGCTGTAGGGTCGACTGGCCTTATTTTTGAATACAACCTATATTGATAGGTAAATAAAAATAAATAATTTGTATTCACCAAATCCTTGTCTGAATATATAATGAAGTTTCAACTACAGTAGAATTTGCCTCATTTCAGCCCAGGAAGTGCTGGAAAGACAAAGGGATGTCTTAAGTATTGTCTGACAATACAAACGCATAGCTAAATGCTGCTGGTACCCTGCTGCTGGGATCTGTAGAGCCCATTGAGTGAACTTCAGCTTCTTACACCTGGTTTCTGGAAAATCTAAAAAGAACCTTTGTTCCTCCAGCTTCTAGGCACAGACTACCTCAGGGAATATGAAGTTATTGACTAAAGTTCTTAAGAACCTTCAATATGGGAGAAAACAAATTTAAATAGATTTAAAACCAAATCTTCTCCCAGATTCCAAGACCCAAAGGGGATATGGGAGGAAAAGGCAAAATGTCCTGCCTGTTCTTGATGAAACCAGAAAGAAAAAAAAAAAAAACAACATGCTAAATTCGAATTCAGAATCAGAGTCACAGTGGCAATTAAAGGTCATGAAACTTTGTGATACAGAATTAAGTGACAACAGAAGGACAAGTGGATATATCAGCAGCACAAGCTTGTAATACAAATGCTTTGTATTTTCATTTCATAACTCCATGAAAGAACATTTAACTATGAAAACTGAGTACCATTGTCTAAAGCAGCCAGAAAAAATAACAACATAAGGAATGAGGGGCTCACAAAGTTTGGCCTCACATCCAAGAGCCCCCGAAAGTCCACTTGGGTCTAGCTTTTTTCCATTTTGGACCAGTGTCAACATATAAATATATTTTACAATGAGTTTCAATGAAGTGTACTTATGTAAAGAAAATGCTGAAAAGTTTAAGCTAAACGCTGTCACTTGTGATCATATTTTTAAATAGGGACAATATTTACAACATTGTATTTTTTGACAAAAAATACCCAAATCAAACTAGTTCTTTTGTATCTCTGCCCAACAGAAAATTATCTATAGTATAAATAATTTCTGAATTTATGTTACTTACTTTGACTTTGTCATTCAGTTGAGCTCTGATAATAGGGCCCAAGATTCCAGTTTCCTTGGGACGAGGACTTTCCAGACGTTTAGTGAAGCTGGCATCGGTATACTGCCTAAAGACAGCCTTTTTATACTTTTTACCGATGAGATTTGAGAAGTTGTCCAAGTGCTGTGCTTTATAGTGTCTTAAAAATAACAGAAAAGACAAGTGAACAAATAGAATAGTGACATCTATTAGAATACAGAATTAGTATTCAAGCAACTGGTAGAAACCTCACTGCTTGAAGAAAAAATCCAAACCCTAAACTAACTTAATGCTCTTCACGCCAAATTCTAACCTAAATTAGGTAAGAAGCTTGGAACATCATTTGTGTTTCAGTATCGCACATGACTAATTAGTATCAGAGTTTACATTTAATTTAACACGTGCAAGAAAGAAACAAAGAAAATCAGTATGTACATTTTCAAGATAGGATAGCAGAAATCACTGTTCTCCTTTTACAAAGGCATAGTTGAGGATAGAAAAAACAAACAATTTGCTTACAGTAGCAAAGACTCTAGGAGAGACAGGAACAGATAACCTTAATCCCAGTCAAGCACCATACAACAAGTAATGTTACACTCAAGTTTAAAAACATTAAAATTGTTAATGCTGAGAGCAAAACTAGGATAAATACTGGGAAGTAACTCAGAGTAACGTGTTTGTCCTGGTCACTTGTGCTTCAAAAAGGGTCACTGAACATGGATTAACTCTGTAATTTTGAACAAAGGGGGTAAAAATCAGAGCACTGAGGTGGTTTAAGTAATGCCATGTAACTAGCAGGAAAAGATACACAAGTTTGCTCCATGCAGACCAAGAGGAAATAAGGAGGGAAGCAAATCATACCAAAGAAGGAGGAATACTTAAAGAGTTATGTGAACACTATATTCTAAGGAGGTACATGAAATTACAACCCCAGACAGGGTAAGGAATTTGTCTTGTTCTGCTTAAATCCTTAAAGGTTCTTAGGAACATCAGCCTGTACAGTCACCAGTACTGTAGCAGCGGGGAACTGACAGGTTGCAAATTTAACCTTACAATGCACTGTCAACATTGTGTACTATGACCTCATGTACATTACAGAATTCCTTCTGTTTACCTGAAGTTCAACAAAATAGCCCAATATGCTTACTTATGACTTTTACTACATCTACATTGGTGCCACTCAAAGGTCATTCATAGAGACACCTCTCTCCCATTCTCTAAACACTTTATTGTGCTGAACTTCTAAAAACTTTTATTCTTAGAAATATTCCGTCCCTCCCTCTCCATTCCTCTTCAGGATTGTTTATTTTAGTAGAATTCACATTGAAAAGTAATTTAGAAAATAGGCTTAAATCCTACTTCAGGCATTTCCTAAGTCATCTTCACATTTTGGGCTCCCCGTTAGAGGCAAAACAAGGTGTCCACCTTTGGGTTCCTCAGCAAAGAAAGTCATTAACACACTGCTAAGAGTCCAGTGGAGGGCAACCACAGTGATTAGGGAGCTAGAGCACATGACATAGAAGTAAAATCTCGGTTTATTCAGTCACGCAAATACATGGCTGAGGAAGCATCATATTTTTATCATCAACTGTCAAATGGGAGATTATAGAGGAAACAGAACCAGACTCTTCTCAGAGTTGAGTACTGAAGAGACGAGATACGATAGACACAAGGCACAACATGAGAAAGCCTGACTAGATATAAGGAAAAAGTTTTTCACTGTGAGGTTGCAAAGGTGCCCAGAGAAATTAAGGAGTCCCCATCCTTGGAGACAATGAAAACTCAATTGGATAAGGCCCTGTGCAACTGGACCCAACTTTGCCGTTGGATCCCCAGAGGTCCTCTCCAACCTGAGTTATTCTGTGATTTCAAGTTAACATTCCATATTACGCTGACAAAGTATTACCTTACCTATCAAGGCTGTCTGGAATAGTTGGGGCATAATCCCAAGTAACTTCTTCTGCAGCAATGAAATATTCCCAGCTTTTGACCATAAGACGTTCTTTATAGGAGAGACGACTCTTCTTCACCTCTTTATCCCCACAGTCTCTTATTGTGAGGTAACCGTGCATTCCAGCTAATTGAGAAGAAAGAGTACCATAGTGATTTTCCATTTTATGAACCCTTACCACTTCAACAGCATTTCTCATCTCTTTAGCTAAGGCTGCCAGCAAGCTTATGTTCATCTGATTGCCATCTTTTCAGGCTTGAAAAGGCTGCATCCATGTAGATTATATACAGGCTGGGACCCTTTCAAGGAGCCCATACTAATCAAATGGAATACAGAAGCTCTCTCAACTAGCCCTCTTTGAAAATACCAGCTGAACAGATAGAAAGCTATTTTTTCCAAAACATGTCTTCTAGCTCTTGTAAGAGAGACATTTCTCTCATTCTTTAAAACAGAATTCTGATCACTGCTGAGAGAGAGATACACAATTTCAAATGACAAACAGCAAATACTTTCATCAGATTGAGTGATCCTTAGCTGAAAGTGCTCAGTTTCTCAGGAAACATGCAGTTCCTTACTCATTTTATAACAGTCCTTATCTGAACAGCTCAGAGAGACTTAGATGTTGGAGTACTCATTCACTGTTGCACTGTGATCTGACACAGCAGTAAACCTGCAGGTAAGAATGCCTTTTAGTTCATCGCGCAATTCTCATCCCAACAGAATGCCCTGTTCTCCAGTGGTTTCTCAGTGAAACAACAACCCTCTGAAACACAGCAACTGTACCACTGCAAAACAGTAGAAGCCATTTGGGATAAAGAAGAGAAGGACAACTCTACAGTTGCCTAATACATAGATGTTTCCTTGCCTTGCAGGTGCTTTTGGACAAGAGAAGATATCAGCCACCTTCCTTCCTCAGTCACTGTCATGTTTACTGTGGTTGATGCTCCTCCCACTAGGTTTACAGTAGAAACTCGGCGATGTGTCTGCTCCATGGACTGGCCGTTGATATGAATGGAGAAAATTTCTGGCTTGGAACTCATTCCTATCAAATGCCAGCTAATGTTGTCATATGCACAAGCCTCTAAATCTGAAAGAGAAATTAGAGTGGGGTTCAGAATACAAGCAAATTATGCAAGTTCCCTATGCACACTAGGTCTGAAGTTGAGTCTTCGCTCAAAACATTAAAAAAAAAAATCTCAGACTCCTGTGATCAGTGTTTGCAACAAGAGGAAGTTCCAGAAGCTTGTAAATGGAACAGATACCAAAACTGTGTATGTCAGTGGAAGACAGGGGTTTAAATCTCAAAACACAAGCGACAATCTGACTTACAGTGAGCTGAGGAAGCAGGAAGAAAACCAGTAGCTTCTTTTGGAAAGCTGATCTGTCCTTGTTTGGAAAAAGAGATGAGAGCAAAAACAAGAGAAAGAGAGCAAAGATCCAAGAGAAAGAATGAAGTTGTATCTAGTGACAGTAACTACCCTATGCAATATTTGTTTAAAAAATTCACATGTAGGACAGTCTTTTGTATTTACCCAACGGACTGGACAGAGATATGAAAGTAGTTCCTTAGGAGAGCCAGGGGCAAACATTAGCAACAGATGAGCCCCATTACCACATTCCTAATCTTCCCATTTAATTGTCTAATTTAATAGTAAATGACTTTCCAATTCCAGGAAGTACTTCATCTAGCACGTTCTATATGCTGTAAAATCAGCAGTTCACTTAACCACATCACTTTCTCCCATCAGCTGCGTAAAAAAATGAGGTATTGCTTTTTTTTTTTTTTAAAGTTAATAAGCCTGTTCTTCAAACAGAACTCTTCTTAGAAGTAATTTTGTTGTTCTTATCAGCAGTACAGCATGACTTCCTTACAGCAGCATAGTTTCTCTTCTAGAATTTAGATGCTCACAGACATGTCCTAAAAAAGGCTGCATCCTATTCCTCCACTTAGGAACGTATAAAAAAAGCAAACAAAGGTAATATTCAATCTTCATCAACGTTAATTTCATTTTGCATAAGCGTGAACAGTACCTGGTAACGTTCCATCAGCATAGCCATTAATTGTGTACTTGAGTGATGCTGTTCTTTGCCAACTCTTGTTTTCATCAAACACGCCAAACATCAGTACATACTCCTTGTCGAAAAGTTTCTGTGACCCATCCTCATTTAGGCTTCCTATGAAGAAGAAAAAACAGGTCTTAATTTGAAACAAAAGTAAAGCAGTTTTCACATCAATGTAGTGGCATTAATGTGTATTTAATGAGCTTGCTTCACCAGTTAGCATGTTCCGGCTAAGCCTGACCATAATAAGACCTTAAGAATTCTCATAAAGTGATTTTATTTCTGAAAGTACTTTTGGGTTGGATAACCATGAAATCAAAAGTCTGTAATATTCCAGAGGAATATAAACAACATGCAGTGAATTGGCTCAGACAATTCTGGCAATGCATTGTAGATATTGCCTTAATGAATGGAAGCACCAAACGGTCTTCTGTTCACAGATGCTGGCCTCTCTTTTGAGACAGTGAGGCAAGCAGAAGAACGATGGCAGTCACCTGCAGTGTGAACGCTGCCTTTTCAAGCTCTATATTGAGGTCATCGGGTCCTTTAAAAAGTATAAACCTAACCACTCAGCAAACAACCTTTACATACAAAAGACTTTGACAAATACTGATGAATTAGAATGGTTATAAGAAACCATCTAGAAAGAAGGTAATTCCAAAGAATTTGTCCAGATTAACTCCACCAGTATGCCATAAAATGCACACATACGTGCACACACAAGCACAGAGAAAGAAAACACAAGAAAATTAGGAAAGTAGCAAGTCCTAGATAATACTAAAAGCACTAATTCTCAAAAAACTTCCAGAGGAACATAAGTAATAATACTAATGCCAATCCTTTGAGGTGACATGAGTACGTGTGTTCCGCAACTAAATGGGTATCTATCAGTGAAAAGAGCGCCCTTGCACAACCCACACTGAACTAGTTTTATGTTTACTTTCAGGAAAGATTCAAGGTGCAAGTTCATGCAGTCTGAAGTCTATACAAAATATTTGACTCAAAGTGCAGGGAAAGAGGATCACGTTAAACTCACAGAGCTTTCACTAAAAGGAGGATATTTAACTTGGAAAAAATTAGGATTTAAAGAAGAGCAAGTAATTTAAGCAGCTTATAGAGTGCTAAACTTCCCTCAAGGCAGTGGTATGTACCTAGCAGTTATTTACAAGTCCTACAAGACACGAGGTTGTATCAGTGGAGATGGAACTCACTGACTTAAACTGCTAAAATCTCAAGTCCCTGTTCACACGCAAATCAATTTTTGAAGACTTATAATTTGTTCAAATTGGGCTATACTTTCAAATGATTAGCAAAAGACACACTGCTCTGCAGTTTCAAACCCATGTTACAGAAGGTAGAGAGTGCTACAGCCTCTTGATCAGACAGCCTTTAAAAGGCATTAGTAAAACAACTATTTCCTGCTTTATTCTCTGGAATGTCTGAACGATTTTGAATGAAACACTAAAAAAATACTTATTCTAAGACAGGAAATTTGAGGTCATATATTTAGCAGTTAAGCTACTGAGAATGCAACCAGTACAGGCAGTGTATCTATTAATAGCGTGCTCTGTCCATCCTGTAGTTATATGATGGATCTGCACAAAAGCTGGCATTTAAAAAACTTTAACATCTAAAAGAAAGATGTTGAAAATTATTTACTTTACACTACATGTAAAGATGTGAAAAGGGGAATAATGTATCTTCTCTCATTATCATACAACCTTAACTTTATTGAGAAAATAAACTGTATTACCTTATGGTAGCCTTAAAGCATTTCATTACCTTTCTTACAGATAAGCAGTGCTCCAATCAGACCAGAGTTAAAATCCATTGCCATGTTCTCGTGAGAATAATACGCATAAGTAAGACAAGGAAGGTCAGCTTCTCTTGGACCAACATCTTCTGTTATATCATACACGTATGTGTAGACCTGGCCCGGAAGTACAGCATCATCTCGTTTTTCTGCAGATGATGTTCTGTCATCATACAGGGAGCCTGCCAAGAAATGAGTCAGTGGTGCAGCATGAAGACGAAGAGCAATTAAATCATCTGGAATATCCTCCTGCAATCAGTTCCAAAAGCTTGGTTTGCTTCTTCAGTTTGAAAGAGAACTCAAGATTCCACTCACATTGTGGACAGTACCATAGGGGAGAATCACTATTCTACCATCATGTTTCTTACAGATTGAAGAGTTCCTAGAACTGTCATCACTGCTGAAAGGTGGGGCTCTTCATCAGGCTGACTAGGGTTAGGATAGCATGAAGCTTCAGCTTCTGCTTACTGACACTCTGTGGAAGAATACTGCCTACTTTGTCAACTTTCTAACAGTCTCTCATAAAGCCAATGCACAGGCTAGTACTGCCTTGCTGCCTTAGCCTTTTGTGCACTGCATACCCAGATGGCAATAACAGCTCATCTCTATGCCTACCATATCCAACAAGTTTGCAGTATGACAAAAGCGAGCCAGAGAATCAAAATCCTAGGTGCAAAAGGTGCATTAATAAGATAGTCAAACTGCCTATCGCTTCCAATAACGTGTTCTGTTCAACTCCATGAGGTGGGGTTCCAAAATTCTCTTTGTACCGACACAACAAACAAAGCCTTGAACAAATTTGTAAACTGCAGGTCAGAGCTCTGCCTCAGCACCCGGGCAATCAAACTCACTCTGTGCTAGTGCAGACATTTAACTGTCAATTTGGTCACAGTTTATGATCTCTTTTTGCTAGTCTGATGAGGGTTCCAGGAAAAAAACACTACAGAGCTGAGCATGAAAAGCTGAGTGTCAGAACATGATCGGCTCTGTCAGCTGCCTTTACCAACAATGCATTGCTGTACACTACTGCAAGGAATTTAGAAAAGTTTTTTTAAGTCCTGTATTTAAGAGTTTACATGTCCTGAAATAGCATATTTTGCGATTACATGGGGGTTGGACCAGATGACCTCCGGAGGTGCCTTCTGACTACAACCACTCTGTGATTCTGTGAAACAGTATTAGCACACAGGCAACTGGTAAGGAGACTGTGCATGTCAGATGACACTCATATTCCTAGCATTACACTGATGCACAAGAAAGGAGCTAACAATGGGCGTAAAGTTTTAATCCAGGATCAACAGATATTTGTGTTACACACATCCTTAAACATTGGTCTGGATACCTCTCCATACTTCATACACGTAAATGAATGAAACACAAGAGCTTTTATATATGTTTACCTTCTGCATTTTTGTTGTAAACTATGCCTTGGGGATGAATACTGACTGGCTTGTCAGCCATATTCTTAAGGTGAACTACTAAAGTATCTCCCACTTCAGCACGCAGAGTTGGTCCCAGAAGTCCTGTAGTTATTCAAGACAAAGAGAGAGGAAAATGTGAGCAAAACAGTGTGTTTTGCAAAATGAAGGGTTCTCTCCCCCCATTAGGGAATGCAAGCTCTCAAAGTACAAGTTGCAAAATTAATACAGGCACAGAGTGGAATACTACTGCAATGAAGATTTACAAAAGGCATGTGGCGATTTAAAACCTGCATCTCATAGTTATGTTACAAGGTATATATTTGGCAACTAGCACTTAAACTTCACATGAAAATGGTAGATTCAGGAGAAAAAGTTATTTTCAGATACATAAAATTTATCAACAGGTTCATGTTGAGGTTCATTGGGAATTTCTAGGAATCCTTCACAAACAATTTAAACTGTTTTAGGAAGGCAGACATTTTATAGTTTAAGAGTTTAGAGAAAGGCATTCAAGCCCATTTCTTTGAATAGCACTCTCAATGTCAGAAGTCACAAAACAAAGAGATCTTTCAATCCCAAAACGTTATCTAAAGAAATACTCAGTTCCATGTCGCAATTTTCTTGAGGCATAGCCTTCAAAAGGTTTCAAGAGGGGTTTGTATCCCTACTCCCCATGTTGCAAAAATAAGCAATCGAAACCTGCTAAGACAACCTTTGGCTTGTTGGCCTCTTCCTTTGTAATCTATATTTATCTATCTACCTTTTCTCTGAAAAGAAAGAAGCAGTTTCAGAAAACACAGGGGAACTAACAAAACTAGAAGGAATCAGATCAGACACTAGACCTTTCAGAGCAACTTGTAACAATTTCTTACTACCAACCTCACACACACTTACTTTAAAATCTAAATCTGAACATCTAACATCATAAAGCGCAGACTACAGAAGTACAATATCTGCATAAGTATCAGAACACAAGTATCACACCTATGTATGGCATAAGTATGAGAACTTGTCTCCACCCATTTAAAGTGTCTTCAAGCAGTAACAGATGCAGAGGCAAGGGGACATCTTTCACACCCAATCTCATAGTTTTTGTTTTCCTTTCCACTGATCTATCAGAAATATATTTAGCCTCAGGCCTTAAGCTCCTTCCATGTGATTTTATAGTGTCACCACTGTGACTGTGCCATACAAGTCTAAATGTGTATGGGAAGTCTCATCAGATGCTGAAAACAAAGGGAATAACTTTGTACTGTGCAATGAATTTGCAGATAGCACTGAGCCCCAGCCTCTGAAAATCCAACCTATGGCTTTCGAAAGCCTAGGGCACTGTAGAGACCTCACCACCTGTGCAAAACAATGGACACCAAAAACCAAGCTGCTTAGCTTGTTACTGTCTTTATAACAAGCAACAAACAAAAGTACTCAGAACATTTCCTGCCTGTTTACCTGCAAATACGTTTGCTGGCTTTTCTTTTTTAAAATCCACTTCATATTCTCTGTAAGAAATTTTCTTAAACACAGGATCTGTATGTTCCAATCTGAAACCAAAAGAGTTACAAAAAATTAAAAGGACCAAGATTCCCAGACACACCATTGCTTTTTAACTGGTATCTCAGAAAATGAATCCTGGAACTACATTTAATCATTTTTTCAGATTTTGCTGAAGCCAAGGCACACAATCCAACTCTTTGTCGTGCCTTCCCCTATCCCTCTTACTCTACTGAACCTATGATGTTCCTGAGCTAGACCGTTTCATATTAGACACTGAATTGCAGTACCTAGCACAGTTTACCCCTGATTTCTACAGGCCCTTCTGATTCTGTGATGAAGATGTCTTTGTTTTGTCCATTTAAGATACTGAGGAAGATGTCTTGATCATGCTTAACCTAGAAAGCATCCATCTAAACAGTGAAAGAAACCTGAATTTCTCTTTACTCAGTCCAATGCTTGAACTTTAAGACTCACCACAATGATTCTAGAACAGCATTAACAGCAAGCTCCTGTAGCAGCAATGCCCTTGCAAGCAAGCACAAAACTGTTGCCTAACAACTACGATCTCTCAGCAAGCCAGAAAATTGCTTTCTGAGAAACAGTGCAAGTGCCCTTAGTCTTGTTACATAAATAAATCAGTCAGTCAGTAGACCACACAATGTTTTCTTAAAAGACAGGCAAAGCAGAGGGAAACCAGCAGATAATGGAATGAACGTAGCAATGAGAAGAGGGCTGGAGGGATAATAGCCTGTATTTAGTTTCACGTTTATGCACTGGTTTCTTATAGTATGCATGATGACTGGATCCAACAGTAATTCTGCTTGCTTCTTTAATGCCCTTTCAGGCACATTTGATAGTGGGGAGCTGATGGGCTGCTGCTCAGGAATAGAGAGGCTGGGCAGAGATAACACAGTGAGCTCACTTCAGTGACATCCAGGGTCCATAAGGGGGAGATCTCTTTCTGTAGAGATCCGTAAATCCCTCTGTGACACTCTCTCACAACAGAAGAGCCAGGCAGAAGCAGTTCACGTTTCAATTAATTGCTCTCTTAAGTCACTGATAAAATTTTGTTTTACTCTTTCAGGAGACGGAACAAATCCATAACCTTCCTTGACAAGCGCTGCCCTAATGTGTCACATGTTCAATAGAACATGCTCAAAACTATGGGGTGGAAGAGGAAATTTGTCAACGCCAATCACATAGCTAGAAGGAACAAAATACATAGCTTACTAACACTTCAGAAATCTCAGATTATGCAAGAAGGTCTAGTTATATAACTTTTGGGAATGGCAGCAGCAATGCTGCCTGCACAGACAATAGATTTTCACTTTGCTCTGAAGTATCAGTATCACTTGTACACGGTAACAAATCTCTACGAAGACATTAAGTGTCCTTTTCTAGCCTGTATGACAGTAAAATTAAGGAAATAGTTCAGGAAGAACCTATTTTCTTTGCAGCCTCTCTTCTATTATTTAGAACCAAAAGCAGCAAAGTATCAAATTCTTACACTGTATTTAGACATTCAGCTTCTACTGAAATCAGAGCAAGTTACATACTCAAATGCCTTTGGGATCCAAGCCATTAGCTCTTCCTTACTATCTTTGTGGTGTCTTTTTTTTTTTTTTGAGTTAAATTTCTATAAACTCTACAAAGTTCATTAGACCCATTTGGGATGTGACTTGCTTTAAATACTTATGTGAGATATCTCAATAGGCATTGCGTATGAAAAACTCCTAGCTAATCCCAGAATATTTCAGATGAGGTTTGAGGCAGTCTTGTGGGTCTCTACTGCATGAAAACAGTCTATCCACAACATTACATTTAATGAAACAGCAATTGATGTTTATATTGATGCATCCAGGGCAAATGAGAATGAAGTTCTAACTATTAAATTCACATGCCTGGGTCAGTACTTAAATGGCATTTGGTTTCATATACCTACATTTAAATCCTGTTTTCTTCTGTCTTGCCAGTTTAACATTATGCTTATACCAGCTGTATTAAACTTCCAAGGGGAGTTTTAGAAATCACAGAAACTTTGTTTTAAGTAAGGAAAAAACATTAGTTAGAAAACTAAATCTGAACTGGAAATGTCCTTTCCATAACATTCAGAAATGCAATACATATTTTAAAATATACCACAGACTAAACAAAAATAAAGAAAACAAGCCATCTACTAATATTAAAAAAACGCAGTAGTATCCAAATACCATTCAATGTAGGAGAACAAGTAATTTGTACCATTTCCTGCCACTTCATGAACAAATAAAACTGTGTTTAGTGACTATACTGAACACAGCGTAAGAATGAAGCCTAATTTAAACAGAATTCTAAATTACATCCAAGTTTTTAATCTGTAGCATTGTACTTGAAGTGTTTATAATCCTAAGGATAATAGTGGTAATACAAATAAGGTATTTTTTATGCTTGATTGGCATATGCATGTAGGCTGGCCATTCTGCAATACTATCTGATAAAAAATTAAATCAGTATTTTTGCTTAATGAATTATAGCAATGCTTGATCCTACAACCTTTACTCGGCAGAACTCACAATGGAAGTTTTGCAAAAACTACTGAACAACTCAGAAACAACATAGCTAGTTCCAAAGTTCATCAGGCTCCGATTCAAGTGAAAGTGATAGTATCCAAATTGGAACATATTTATTCCTTCACCTAATTCTTAAGTTCTGAAATCTTATCAAACCATGGCTCAACTTAACACTGCTCAAAACCCATATACCTAAAACGATTACATTAAAAAAACCCCAAACAACAAACATCAATCCATACAGATGACAAAAGCAAGCCCTGAAACATATTTACAAAAGTGCTCTGAAAACATAAAAATAATTCTATCCACTAATGAAGTAAATAAGAAGGAGCTTCGAATACTTCACTGGCTCCAGTTCAGGTCATGCTGTTTGAAGTCACACATACTGCTCTGAAGCCAACAGATCAGGCTCTAAAGTCCTCCTGGGCTCTAAAATTCCACAGGAGATGGGAGATGTAAAACCTCACAAGAGAGGACTAGTTTCATCCTTCTTATCCTGTACTTTGTTACCTGGACTTCTCCTCAGATGCCGGTTTGTAGGTCCAGCTAGTGATCTGAGCAGCTATATAGTGCTCCCTGACCTTCACAGCTCCCACCACATGCTTCTCTGAGTCTGGCCACCAGGAACCAAGCAAAAGCAAGAGAAAAAGCCGCATACAGTGGAGCGTCATGGTACAGATGCCTGTTGATGCTGCTCTGGAAGACAAGGCAGAAATCGCTGCTTTTATTGCTGTTGCCACTTCTAACTTCCTCTCAGAAATGAAATAATTGTGATGCAAGAGGGTAACAGCATTTGCTATGCTCGGGTCATTGCTCTTTACCTCCTCCTCCCCTTGCTGACAGGGATCCAATAGAGATAAAAAAAACCCCTGTTTAAACTACCTTTCCCTCCCCTCCTCCACACCACCTTCAGTGAGAGAAAAGCACCAAGAAGCAGCAGATTCAGTGCTACTGCAGACTGTGGTTGTGTCATTGTCTACTGAAGCAGCAGGATATCAAAGGCAGAAAACAATTACTTAGATTACTTACAATTACAGGATATTTGATTTGCATAGTTCGGAAGAAAGGGGGGGCATATTTTCTACCTTCCCAGAAAACAGAAGCCCAGCACACAGCTGGCACTGATAGAAATTTCCCACTGAGAAGCAACAACTCTTAAGAAATCATTTGCAGTTAGAAAGCAAAATCCTGAGGGATTAGGTGTGGGGACTAGAAGAGCTAAATTTGGTTCAAATCTATTACATACACTGCACACTCATAATGGTAAGTCAGCAACCTTTCCAAACATGTTGTCAGCTTCAGATGGCTCCTACTACACTCTCAAGTATCTCAGGTAATGGATAATGAACTGTCTTCTTAGTGGCATCTAATAGGTTAGCCTGAAGACTTGCCTGTAGTCAGAATCCTACTACACTAGTCTTGATTAGGATCTGTTGACATTTATCTAAATAGGAAACAGGAAAATACCTTTTGTTAAGCTAATTACCAATATCAATTATATCACCGAAAGTGTTTCCCTGCTTTTGACAGTGCTGAGAGGTTTGTCAAAACAACAAGAAAATTTTTGAGTGTATTTCCCATACACTGGGATCACTGGAAAAAAAAAAATCCCTACCTATTTTTTTCATGGATAGAAGATCACAACAACTTTTTCAATAATGTTTTGTTCACGTTTTAATGAAAAAAAAAAAACCCAACGTAAAACCTCAAATCAAAATAATTCCACTCCAGATCTGGATAAAAATAAGGACAACATTTCCTCAAAAAGACTTCAAAAGAAAACCTGATCAATTCTAGGTTAGATATATTGTTCAACAGCAGAATGGTCTAACTGGCAGCTTGGTTAACTCTATCCAAACTATATAGTACCACATGACCCTAGAAGAGATAGGGAAGATGGTTGGAAAAAAATTTAAGACCACCAATAGCTGAATGCTCCCTACCAAACTCCAGAATAGCTTGGTGCCTAAACCTGAAAACAATAGCGATCACTTGGACAGCAAAGGACTATAGACATCATGGGACAGTTTCAAGGCAGCAAATTGAACTTAAATCAACTCCATGCAGATGCAGTCAGAGGTAATCACTTGTTCCCATGAGCCGCTTTAAAATAGGTATGAAAAGGACGCAAAATCCAGAATCCAGCAACAATTAAGTTTGATCACAATGTGTGCATTGATTTTGAAGAGAAAAATCTTAGATAACATGGTCAAATAGTATTTCATTACTAATTAATTGTTTTAAAGAACTCAGAATAATCCTTGGTAAACTACTTCAATAATTTTTAATTAAAAAGTTATAATATTTGTCTCATTTCTTCTCTGGTCCCAGTTTCATCTCTGGCTCAGGATCTATTCCATTGCTGGTGCTTAAGACTTTGATAGTTGATGTCAAAATGCCTATAATTTAGATTTAATGAAAGAAATCTCTGGGCAGGTGGACAATTCCTTCCTTCAATCCAGAACTGATGGGAAGCAACCGGTGCTGAAGTACCTGGCACATTCTGTTAAACCTAAACCATCTTCACTTTCAAGTTAGCTTGTCTCATCTCTAGGTCTTCAACGTTCATACAGAATCACACAGAAAATATCATGCATCTTTACCAGAACAGAAACTGATTCAGGTTTGAGTTCAGTCTCCACCCACTGGGCTTTACAACTCCATTCCTAAAGCTCCTTCCCATGCAGCGATGTGAAGACCCTCTTGTATTCTTATGTGACTGGCTGAGGAGATGAAACAAAAATACACTTTAAACAAGTCTTTCTGTAACTCTGTTTAACGAATTAAGTGTTTGAATTTGAATTTTCCTTTATAGGTTTCTAATACTTAATTCTTTCCTGTAATAAAAGCTAAAAAATTGCACACGAAAAATTAATACCCCAAATACCTGCTTAAAATCCCTTGCCTTGTGACTGAGCTGGGAATCATCAAAGCTGACATCAATTAGTTAGTTCTCTTTTATCCATTATGATGAATTTGGGGGTTGTATTTTTCGAAGGTGTAAGGCAATGAATTGTGCAGTGACAATCAAATGGTAAAAGGAATTAAAAATGCATTGTATCAGTGAAATTACTTTTACAAGGGTGGCTGATAATACTGATAGTTTTAAACAAGAGTATCAAATTAGACCAGACATAGTTTCCATTAAGCTACACTGATTAGCATGTATTATCCTCCTTTAATCCTTTAAGAAGAAAAAGGCCAATACTGGCTACTCCCTTATTTTCTCCTCTTCCCACACCTCTTGAGCCAGCTCAAATTGTGGGTCAGCCTGTTTGTCTTTCTTATTTTCTTTAAGCTATTACATCATATTGCCTCCCCTAGGCTTTGGGAAGTTTCAGTGTTCTGAAAATCATTACTATTAATCCAAAGATGTTGTTTCCTTTCACCTGACCATTAATTTCTAATATCTGCAACTGTATCCTGTCTGACATGGTAAAAGTCTAATACACACACATAATTTTTTTAGTTGGCATTGGTTCCTGCAATCTATTACTATTAGTCACATGACAAGTGACTACAGAATATGTTCTTCAGGCTGAAATCTTCCAAGACAACGCAACTTTATTGTCTATTCATATATATATATATATAGCCATGATCTTAGCTGCTTCTACTTCACAACACTGCGTATGCAGTAAATGTCACATTTTACCCTCATTGCTTATCCACACGTTCAAATGTAATTTACATTTGGTCACCAGCAACATCAAAAGACCTTACGGGCAAAAGCACGCATAGAGCAGCACTAGTCTAGTCCACACTGGCAAAACAGTCTCTGCAGCACAACGAACAACATTATTCCCAAAACTAAGCAGCACCTTTGGGATGTACTGATAGTGAAATGTCAAATGAAAAGAAAGCATGGAAAGAGAAGCATAAGCGATACTTTTTAACACTAAAAGCAGGTCTGCGTCTTCTAACTGGGGAAGTTTACTGTCTGTTCTGACATTCAGTAATTATGGTCCCAATTCTTGTTACGCTACACATGAAAACTTACTAAAAGAGTATGCTCCCAGTACTGCTCTAAGGCTAACCTTTAAAACTAACTGGGATTGCCAGTTTTTTCCACCCAGAATAGCCTAGGCTGAGTCTGAGCAATCACGAACAGGCAACTCTTTTAAAGAGCTCTGACGTGGTGATTTGCCACTTTCTGCAAATTATAGATTAGGACCCACCATAAACTTGGTTCTACTTCATCACAAATGCTATCCTACGTGCTAGCAGGCAGCCCTATCCTGACGGCTGCCATCAGTTTTAACAATCGTATTATAGGGACTGAGGGGGACTTAGTATAGAGAAGAAAAAGTTGTACAACAGTTATTGAATTGGTTGCTAATAATGCCCCAACATAGATCTCTCTCCCCCATTCAAACACATAAATCGATGCAAAATAGTCCAGCAAGCATACTTTGTTTAGTGCAGGGTGAAAGGACTTTCATGGGCAAACAAGGAGTTAATTATTGATCAGCAGCGAACACTCAGTTCTGAAGTAGGTAAAAGACAGAAGGGGCACTTACCAAATCTGCCAGGCACAACTCACACACAGAAGCCATCAGATAAATATCTTCACTTCTGCAAGAAGGCACTGAAGCCAAAAAAGGTTAATCTGTGAAACAGCTCATTTCAGAAGTTTAAAGTAGATGCACTATGTCAAAAACCACACGAGCAGGCAAAAATAAGAGATGACAGAGAAACTTGGGCTTTCTTTCAGACAACTTACGCAAAAGGAATACGTATATGCGTTTTGTATTTGATGGCAGCTCAGGTAAGAACACATTCTGCCTGTTAAAGGAAGGCAGGCCCTGTAACTTGCGTGGTCAGACATACTACAAGGCAGTAAGAATGTCGAACAGCATTTCAGACTGCTCTGGTGTTAAAGGCTTCAAAAGGTACATGATCATGCTGATTTAAACCTAAATACGTTCATGTGTTTTAAACTTGTATTTTTCCTTAGGAGAAGAGCAAGAGTTCTTGATTAGAGTTGGGCATTTCTCCAGTCAATGCTTGTCAAAACCAATTATTTAGCAGGACCCAAAACTATTTGTACAGAAATACTGAATTCAACAAACAGTTTCAGAGAAAAAGAAATCTGTGAATTTTCTGAACATTGTAAAATCTAATTTCAGTGCTTCAACAAATTTCTCTAAGACCACTGGCTTTTGGTCTGAAAAAAATTCATTTTAAGGAACAAAAAGAGGAGGATGCACTAGCTTCCTCTCTTCAAAAACTACATTAGCAATGTCTGACTCAAAATTTTGGACTGACCCAAAATAAGCCTTTAAAAAAAAAAAAAACAAACCAAACCAAACAAAAAAAAAACCAAAACAAAACAAAACAACTGTGTGCTTAATTTTTGCTAGGAAATTTTCAGTTTGGCTCCACAAAGAATTTTGCTGCTACTCTAAACCATGTTTGTGTTCTCTGTGTTTCAGTTCATCGCCTTTTCTAAGAGATTTCCTTATTTGCCCAGGCTTACAACTGATACGCTAAATCAGACCAGCTGCCCTCATGCTCAGTCAGCCTTGCAGCATATTCAACTTTGTTTTCTTTCTGTAGAGAATAAAAGCAGTAAGAATATCAGTGCCTACAACACCATGTTAAGCAGGTGGTACAGGATTGTAAGAGTTTGCAACTAGGAAGACTTGCATCTTTTTATCATAAAGACTTGTTGGAACTGAAAGTGGGTTATCAAAAAGAGAGCCTTTTACCAAGTTGTATACATACCTACTACTTTAGATGAATCAACTTTCTCTTCTTTCATACGGTTGCATTTTCTGCATCCAGATTTTGCTTGCTTGTTTGTTTTTAAAAAAGAAAAACTAAATCAACTTTTACAAGTTACTAACAGGAAGGTTATTTTCCAATAGGAAAGCAGATAGGTATGTTTCAGGAAGAAACACGAAATCAGTAAGCTTTCAGCGTAAGACAACACTAAATTACACCTGTCCATACAGACTTTACAACACCTTTTTTTTGTTCCCTAGCAACGGATCAGACTGTTTGTTAGCAAGCTGGTTAAACAAGCTCCACTTTCCCACACATAAAAATGCAGCCTCAGAGTTGAAACTGTCCTCAGTCTTTAACACTATTTCCACCCTTCATTATTTATAGTTTAGACTTTGATTCGACTTTTAGAATAATAGATACAGAGTGCACTTCCCATGTATTGCTTGGAAGTTACTGCTTTGATTTTTTTCTTCTATGTTTTTTATTGGAAGCAAGTCTTTTCTTTGTATTTTAAAAGTACTCCATGCAAATTGAGGATTAGGTATCTTAAGTTTGACAGTCGAGCTTGTGATGGTCATTACTTTAAATCTCTCTAAGGTTATTCCCTTTGCATCATAATCCATTCCCTATGGTAAAATCGTAACTTTGGTTCAGATTCAGTGGAATCAAAATTTCACCCACATCTTCACAGCATGCAGCACCTGTAAACTAGAATGTACTCAAAGTCCACAGTCAAGAGATAGAAATCTAGAAGGCAAGTAAAGAGCCACACGAACCATAAAATGTGCAGTAGGAAAGGGACTCCAGCAGAGCAGAACTTCTCAAGAGCTATTTTGATGTAGGGGCAAAATTCAGACAATGAGTGACCACGTAGGATTTGCCAGAAGCTGTAACTGATGTTACTGTGTTTGCACATGTTGATAACAGTTCCTACAGCGGCATCCTTCACTTCTAACAGGAATTTTAAATATTAGTCCCAAACAAAGAAAAGAATTAATGCACAGCACAACTGCTGTAAGTGTAGCCAGGTGTGGAATAATTACCAGAGGTGACTTGGAAATTACACTTGTATTAAAGACACAGCATTGTTCACACATTAAGGAAAGATACAGAGCAGAGTGCAGTGGGCACACAAGGAATCCATTCCACAGAAGTTCCCTAGGCAACCTTGGGTGTTGGCAACATCAGGGGAGATTGATGCGCTGTCTCCAAGAGCAAACAGCACGGAGGGTGGAGCAGAGTGAAATCGCCACAGCCAGGCTCTGTGATACCACTGCCAAGACGGGAACCTGATGGTACCATGGAACTGGTAAGCTGCATAGTTGCCACCCTGGGCCAATGGTCTGTCATTTTTTGACAAAATATCGTCCTTTGGGTGAACTTTGCTCATTATAATACCAAAACACACCTCCAACCCAAAAGCTACCCGACTTCAAGGTGCGACCACCCCTCACTGAGCTTGCACCCTGAATTTCTATAGTCTATACCTTTAAAAGCAAAGGGAGAGAATTTTACACCAATCATAATAAAGATATGTATGCCTTGAGTCACTGAAGCTCCACCTGAAAGGTAAAAATCAGTATTAAAAAATGGTCTGAGAGAAGGATGTTAGGGAAGACACCATGGATAAGTCACAGACCATCTTAGACTTCCAGGATCAGTCGACCAGCTAAGCCTCTCTTCCCCCCCATAGGGACACCTTTGGGTAAGAAGACTTGAACGCTCAGTTACACCTAGTGCTCCCTGGGAAACTTAGAAATCTCTATAGTTGCTTTTACAACTTAGCGTGCTTTATAGCCAGGCTGTGTTATTTTATCTAAACTTGCATGTGCTCTACAGACAGTGAGTTTATCACCAGCAATCCAAAGAACTTGTGTATCTGTCACTGCTCCAATAAACTGCACTATCATTAATCCAGCCATGTGAGCTCTTTTGAATGTGACCACAATCCTACAAGTGGCCGTGCTAGTTCATCAAGCACCGCTAGACTGACGGTGCAGGAACTCCATAATCATGACAGTTCAATTATTTGTCTAGCTGCGTGAGCTATTAAGTGCCACTAGACTGACATTGGACATGACCAGACTCCTAGAGCCGAATTGGGCATCACTGAGAATCTAAGTCCAGCTACCCCCAGCTCCTCTGATATCTGAGGACAAGCTGGAAAGCAAGGGGGTTTATCTTCTGCCAAATTCCTTTGCCCTTTAACATAACACCAGGTCAAATTTGTTTGGGCAGGTACAGCCACTTTGATATCCAGCCAAGCAGAGCACCACGTATTAGTCACCAAGCACCAGGTTTTGCGACACTAGATATTTCTGTGCTACAAATACCATAAAACATTAAGTATCACGGTGCTGATGGAAGCCATTGGCAAGTTGTCTTCAGTTCTGTTGTCCCTCTTTTTTTCTGCTACGTTCAGAAAAAAAATGCCTTCATCAGTTTATACTTAAAAAAAAAATAAAAATCACACCACTTACTTCTGTCAACAGCCTGACAAAGAAGAACGTATTATTTGTTAACTCAACATACCGGAAACCAGTGTCAGACTAATTCACCTTCCTAAAGAACAGACACCTTCTAGGGAGAAGGATGTTTCAGAAGATTCTGACAGAGCAAAGAAAAAAAACTATACATCACTCGTGGTTATTTTAAGCCATACTCCCTCTTTGCTCCTCTCCAAAACCCCCTGTTTGTTGGGTGGAGGACAGCTACTTCCTTTGTTACCAAAAACCCCAAAACATCTTTGAAATTAGATGACGGGGGAAATCCTACAGCATGACTCAGTGGATGTGGTTAAGTTTTAACAGGTTTCAGTTAGCATTACTCTTCACTTATGCAGACATTGCTTAAGATACTGTCCAAGAAAGAGGAAGTGAAGATAGGTATCAAAAGAGGGAAGCTAATTTAAGCATAGTACACAGAACTCGATTACAGGCTGTCACATAACAACATGGCACAGAGGACAACCAAGACAGGGACCAGTTGTGCCAAAACAGAGACCAACCTTCCTACCCAACAGAAAATTCAGTCAGTTGCAGACACCCAAGTTCAGATTACCTTGCAGAATGCAAGTTAGATGTTCGGGAGACAAAGATGCTGTCTTGAAAGCTAAACAGAGTTTAAGTGAATCATATATATATATATATATACACATACACACACACACATATATATATATGAAATGGTCCTTTCCTCCTTTCCTCCCATGGTCATTAATGGAAAAACTTACATTTTACAGGGCAGAAAGTGGCTGCTAAAGACTGGATGCATCTGCAATATTTGAATTCATAAACAACCTCATGTATGTTTATCCCAAAAAGGAAACCATGTCCTTAGACTACCAGTTAGTGTAGTTGAGGCAGAGAAGTAATATTGAACCTTCCTCTATCATAGCAATCTTCTCTCTTTACACCCAAGCTGTAATTTTGTCAATAAGACTGTCCTTGCCTTCATCACAAGATGAACTGACTACATACTAATATTCCTCCTTTGCCTCCATCTCAAAACACTAGTCTAGCTCAAGTGTAAATCTAATCACCTTTCAAAGTCTGGTTAGTTACAGCTATTTCAGTTTAAGATGTAGTCAAACTTTCCTAACACGATGATCACTTATTTTCTTTCAGCTTTCAAAATCCTCCTTCAGCTAGAGGAAACATCACCATTCATAACTAGGAAAAACACACATAGCTTTCAAGTGAATTTAAATAGAAGGAAAAAAATGATAAAAATTTCACATTTTCAGGAATCAGCAATGAAGCCAAAAGCATTATGCTCCTAGCAGAAAAGTAGATTTTAGCTTCCAATATAGACAAAAACAATCTTCTGTTGTAAGAAAGCTGAAGGAATTACAGATAAAAAATCCCACCTCTTATTACAGTGTCTGTATAGAAATGAAAGTGATTTATTTATATTACACACAAAGATTTTTATTAAAAAGGCTGGTAATGGAATATTTTATTTTAATTCATCAAGCTGATAAAAGGTTAGTTACAGAAATTTTGTATAATGTTGTATGAGTCACATGGATGGGTTATTTAAAAAAAAAAAGATTTGATGATTAGAGGAGGACATCTCTTATTTTAGTTACATCGTAAAGTGCCTCGTGTAGTCATATTCTATTGTTGGAATGACTGCCTGTACAAATTTCAAGAAAATAAGAAGGTACCTGAGTTTCTTGTCAAGGAAAATGTGCAATAGCTAGAAATCCTGTAAAACAAAGCAGAAGTCACACTCAATCGTCTGCTCAACAGTATTTCTTGCTAATAGGAAAATAATGCCTAGCAATTATACAGTTAAGAGGCTGGGAAATTAATGCAGCAAAACTCTGGTGATGACATCTGATGCTTGCCCAAACATACAGACCTTCGTATTTTAAGTTAAAGCAGGGAACCAGGAGTTATTTTCAATAAATCTTACAAAGACCACACAGTGACAATGCCATTTACATGTTTGTTATTAACAAATGGAAGGTGAATTGCACCTAGCAAAGCTAATGCCTAGCTACCTAGCTATTACTATGTGATAATGAGGGAAAAATTGTCTGTTAAAAACCCCTCGATTTGTTAAGCAATACCAAAAAAGTAATCAAAATCTTGAAAATAAGCTATTTCTAACTATTGAGGAGTGGAAGACTTGGACCTACCTTGTCAGAAAAGTAATTTTCCAGTTTAGTTTCAGTTGCTTGCTGCACAAATTGCGCAAGTCACGTCATACAGCGAACAAGAATTTTACTGATTCAGGGCCTATAGCTGCTCAGTAATCCCCCTTGCTTGCCTTATACCAGCAAAAGAACACTATTTTGAAAGGACACACTTGCTTCCAACATGGAGGTTACTTCAGTCAGAAAGCATAGTTATCAATTACTACAAAGCATAACTAAGATCAGTCACCTTGCTAAAAGAAAATTCTAATTGTGAAGCATTTGATATTAATGTTCAGAATGGCTTCAGTAATTTTCATTGCTTTTTTTGTCAGCTGAATGTTTTACCAAAATAATACTCCCATGCAGAGTAGAGAATAATAGGACCTCTACACCTTTCAGAAATGAATCGCAGATTCAAATTTAATACAGAACCTGCTGTACCAAGAGGATTGATTACACTCTGGCCAGAGTCTATGAACCTCCAGCCTCATCCTCCCTCCTACACTGGGATCTTAGTTCCATACGCACAGCTACCTCCTTCACAACCCTACAAACAAGGGCTCAGTTCTGTCCCTTCAAACCTACCTACTTTCCCTGTTGCTCCTGCCCTCCTGCCCCTCGCCCCCTGCCCCAACAACTGATTAACAGTTTGTTTGCACAGAGGAGCTCATCCCAGAACTCTAGTGAGTGTTACCACAAGCAGCTGTTTACTGCTTTCACACACAATTGCATTCCAGTTTAGGAACCTTGAGGTAAGAGCTCCTTACACTGCAAGAAACCTCTAAGAATACCATGTAGTAATGAAAAAGGATACATGTGAACTCCAAGTTCTCCCCCACCTTCTGCAACAGTCTCGATTATTTTCTTCATAACTTCTGCATGCCTGAAAAACAGATCAGAAACAGTGAAAATATTTTAAAGAAAAAATAACTCCCTCTTCACCTCACTAAGATTAGGTTTTGTGCAAATTAAATAGTTTTGGACTGTTAGCTTCAGAAGCAGCAAGAGGAAACTTTCAGTTTACTGAGGAAAAAAAATCCCAACAGTAACTGAAAGTTAGTATTAAGCGATGGATGAAATATTATTTGCCAGTTCCTTACATTCACAAGGAAAGCAAAAAGTGTTCTATGCTACAATGTAGACCAAGTGCCACAATGAGTCAATACATATTGCTTGTCACTAGTGTAGTTTTTAACTGCTAAATGCCAAAGAAGCCCCCAGGTAAGTGCCCAGAAGGTAATCCTCACCAGCACCAAGCCACCAGAAGTTCCCAAATGACCTGAAAAAGTTGCCTAGAAATTGCTACAACTTTTCTAGCTGCCTTTGCTGCACTCTTAAATTTGTAGAATTTAAAAGGTATCAAATACTTAAAACAATTCATAGTTTCCTAGGAAAGGCAGGCTAAACCAACCCTGCATAAATTCAGAACTGTGTCTCTGGGACTGATGTAGGGTATGGAAACTTTCTCTGGCAGTAGCTTAGGTTCTATGGCAGATCAACAGTTTCTAAATTAGCTGCTTCTCTCTCGTGACACTGTTGTCATAAAGCACTACAGACGATGACAAATATTTCCTCAGGTCACTGTGTTTTGACATTAAGTCATCAGTGACATACTAGACCTACTATGAACTGCACAAACATTTTGTGTACAAAGCTGATCCTGGGAATATAACACGGAATCACAGAATAGCTAAGGTTGGAAGAGATTGGTCATCATCTAGTCCAACCCTCCTTGCTCAGTAAACTAGAAGAGATTGCTCAGGACCTTGTTTGGTCTGGTTTTGAATATCTCCAGTGATGGAGACTTCAAATCTTTTAATGACCAGTTACAATTCAGAAGTAATGGTCTTGTGTTCAGGATAGTTCTTATACCCCACAAACCAGGGGATGAAGAACATCAAATCAGAGGTGAGAACTACTGTATGGTTAATTGATGTTTTATTTATTTATTTCTAACATGAAGTCCCATGTTGTACAACTCATTTAACTTTTCTCTGTTCTTCAACTTTTTTTTAAATTCATGATTCCGTAGGCAATCTTTATCAGTGACATCATACAGGGCTATGGACATCCACCGACACAGCACTGAAAGCTATCGAACAGCAGCAGTTTAAAATACCCGTTCTGAAAGAACCTATGTGCCTATGGAGAACAAAAAGAGTGGTAAGCAGGAGTTGGCATAACTTTCTGACCATGCTTTGATACTATTATGCAAATATACAGCTGACCCATAACTGGCATTTAGTAGTTACCTCCAAATTTAATCACGCTGCCAGCGACAGCAAACAAAAGGAAGGAAGCTGTTACAAAGTTACCAAGACACATTGTAAACAGGAACATGCAAGTCTGGGGAAATACTAAAGGTCAGCATTTGTCATTTGCTGTGCTGTTGGTATCTGCAAATCAACTAACCCTCACAGTTGATTCCAATTCTGGATCCTGCAGAACACACGCGTATCAGGTACCAAGGCCAGTCGCTTCTGTATAGGAACCTGGCCACTGTCAAAACTTAAGCTTTGACCTCATCCACAACAGTGGACTATTTTTTGCCGGTCACCCTACAGCTATTAGAAGTGTTTAACAGGATACTGGCTCAACTTCATACACCTTAATGATATTTGTTCTTTTCTGTTTTCTAAGGACTAGTTAGATACCTGAAATTCCATAACGGCCACAGTAATGGTCATTCTCACTGTCATATAGTTACTCATTAGAAGCTTAGCAGGTGCTTTATAAACTTTCAGAAGTTTGTTTCCTGTTTTTGGTTTCCTTCTATAAGAAAATTTTGAGGAATTAATACGAAGTATGTATACCCCTCAATGGAAAGAAATCAGACAACTTTGGAAGAAATGTAATCTAAAATACCCTGCTATCTAGAATTTTTTTTTTTTTTTTTTTACTTTTGAATAAAAGTCCCCCAGAAATAACTCTTAACTGCAGGTGCCTAAATATACTACATGATCACCAGTGCTTGTTCCAGGACCTGTTTGTAGATCACTTGAGCTATCAAATAGATCAGACATTTAAAATATCTACTAATATCACCTAATTTACTCTCTGGTATGTCAACCAACTCTTGAGGTGGTTCAAGTAATATAAATGAGTTATTCATATTCCAGGTCAGAAATACTGCTGTTCCTATTAAAAATAGATTGAGATACACAGAGTTAAAACTACACATTAAGAGGTTAAAAATAAGTTCTAAGAAGCTGATTTCTTAAGATTGATTAGATGACCCTTTATGCTTTCTTTAGGAACGTTCACTTTCCAGCTGAAGAACGTCTCTCCTGCTTTGCAGTTGACCAAAGCTGTCAGTCAAAATATTTATTAACTTCACATTGGAATTCAGCCCAGCTGATATACTGACATTGTCTGAATATCAGCTGGAAGGGAAATATATACCATCAGAAAGCAAAAAATAAAAGCCTTCCTGACATGGGGAAAAAACCCAACACCAGAAATTATTCATTCCCATCGTTGTCCCTCCCCGCCTTGCAGTTCATAGAGATGAAAGCCCTCCCACAGGACTTCCAGCGTAGTACACAACAACTATAAGCTTCCATAAAAGGAGAAACTCGACAAACTTTTTAGGACAGTGTACTTTCAAGAAAAAGTTACCTATGAATTTCATTCAGTGTCTGTAACTGCTCTCATACAATGAGACAGGTGTGGAAAAACCCACAAATGTCATCATTAGGAGAAACATTCAGAATCCACAATAGTCAGTTGACATTAAGATCTACAATTCACTGATCGTTACAGTTGCCTCTTGTCACTTCCCTGCAGATATCCAGAATATGTAAGAAGGAAAAACAGTTCAGAAGCCTATCACAATTTATTCTGAAATAGAGAAAAATGAGCCTTTGGAATTAGTGTAAGTAATTCAGATCTAGTTGTAAATGCGTTTAGTAGTTAACTAGTCTAATATTACCTTCATAACACTGACAGAAAAAAGCTGAGAATTGTGATTAAACCAGTTTGCAGCAATTATTGAGGAAGTTGACGATGTTCCTCCAGTACGATAAAAATGCTGACAAGAAATACAACTTACAGCAGAGCTGCAAGATTAACAGTTTCAACTAACTATTCAAAATAGAAGCAATCTCAAGCAGCTGACGGCAGCATCTGACTGCCATTTCTTTCCTTTCTGTGACGCATAACACAGGGATATACACGTCACAAGAAACAGCCAAGTAAGTTTAGGACCATCCAAATACCCTACATTACACAATTGTTGTACTGTGCAGGGAAGTAACAGCAGCAAAGCTAGCTAAACACTGGTGCATCATAGCTAAATTAAGAAAACAATATCTTCTGCTATTATTTTTCTCATCAGAAGCTCAGACATTCTTAGGTGTTAGCCTTACCAATTTAATAAAACAGAACAGCTCACAGTAAGAGAACATACTTAAAACTTCCATTTTAGATACAAAACGTTTGCCTCTTTCTTTACAGTCTCAAGACGACCTTTTCAAACCTTTCTGATGTTAAACAGTTGCTGGTCAATTAGATTGCTTTTTGAGAAGGACTAGACAGCTTCCTCAACATTTAACACTACCAACAAATGTGTCTCACTGTGCTATTAATCATCTCTTTCATGCTTAAAAGGCTAATTGGAACAAGTGCCATAAGGCAAACCATTTCTTCGAGTGTAGATGTGGATTACATAACAAAGGCACTGGCACTTCACTGGCTTTAGAGGAAGAAGTGAAAACAAGCACCCAGAGCTCTCATGAAGACTCTCAATCCAAATTCACGGACTAGCAATAAATTGGTTCTTACTGTGCAAAGGTGTTTGCAAAATTAAGCAGATTACGTTGCAGTCACAGCCCAGTATGAAAGTCGCAGGTCTACTTAGTCAGTGAGGGCTGTCGTGCCCCAATATCGGTCATCTTTGTTCCCTCTGAGTGCGCCCTCCCAGCCTGCATCCATCAACAGGATCTTCTTCCCAACCAATTTAGTAGCAGGGCTTCTAGCAATCACTAAGTTGAGCCTTTACTTCAGGCTTTTTTCCTCCTTTTCTTCTATTAATCATCTTCCTAGTAAGTCTGTTAAGCCTTCCTACATTCACCCCACCTGACACTCCTTCAAAACTAGTTTCTGAACACTTCAAAACCAAAAAGCTGCATCCATTTTTTGTCCAAAACCCTGCAGACAGCAAACAGTAAGACAGTCAAAGTCACTAACAGGTTGACATATTAGGACTGATATGTTGATATAAGGTACCAGAATACCTTATTGTATCTACCTCATCCTGCTTATTAATTTATAGTACGGGCTCAAGAAGAGGCCAGAGCAAGCACCTAGCAATGCTTCCCCCAAAGTACTACTAGTTTCCACAGCATGCAACCCAGGGACTTTCTCACTCTGGAGCATTCTGCTAACTTCATTTTTAATAACTCTCGACAATTTTTTCTTTCATTGACATCATATTACTTAAATAAAAGCAATATGATGTCAATGAAAGAAAAAGCTTAATTAAGTGCTGTGTGCAGAGTCTAATCCTTTTTTCTGGCTTTGGACATGCCAGCAGTGAGCAGTATTCAATGCCACCGGTTTCACTATTAGGAAAAACTGAACACCTCTTAGTTCACCTTCTGAGCCATTCATGATGAAGGTCACCAAAATCATAACTCCCTCCTCAGCTGCCTTTTCCACAACTGAAGGGTTCCAGATTATTCAATCATTTCTTATAGGAAAAAGCTTCATAACCTCAGTTATCCCAGACAATGCTTCTGTATCTCTTGCAGCTTTAGTTTCCATCATCTCAGACTACAGAACAGATGACCAGAGCTGTACTGCAATATTCAACATGTGGGTCATCCCACAGATCAATAGAGGCCTTATGCCATTTTCTGTTCTATTTTTTATTCTTTTCCTAAGAGTTTTCCAAGTTCTGCTTCCTGTACTACTCTTGAGCACAGAGACTGACATTTTCACAGGTCTATTGCGTTAGTGTAGGCTTAAACCTGAGGATTTAAAGACCAACAATAAACTTTGCCACTTTAAAATCTTCTACAAGACAGCTAAACTGGGGAAGAAGCTATTTCCCAGTTGTACAATGGCTTATCTCCTCAATATCGCCCAGACATAAGCCCAACTGCTTGGTGAAAGCAAAGACTGTTGTAAAGCAGTAGTTAAAGAACTATGAACGGGAAGAAACATGAGATACAGATTTACAAAGCCTATGAATATACATCCGCATAATAAAATCAAAAGTAGCCATAAACCACTTGGTGCAAAGCTCCCTTCCTCTCTCTCTAAAGAATGGTATACCCTTCCCAAGACTAATCTTATGATCAAATAATTCCTAAACTAAAAACAAGAATGTTTTAAGCCTGCAAAAACTACCACAAGCTTGTCAACAAAAATTATTTGACACTTCAGCTAGTGACATGGATCCCAGAAGTGTTTCCTTAAGTCAAAAGAAATTACAATTCTTAAAGGGGCTACTTGGATTTTTTTTAAACATATGCAAGACTACCAAGGTTGCCTCTTTTTTTTTCTTCTTCTTTAAAAAAAAAAAAAAAAAAAAGACATAAAAACCCAAACTCATATCTCCAAGAACTTAATACTATCAAGAAGGTGAGGAGTTACACTGTCTAAGATATTGGCTCTGCACCACCAAGATACCTAAAAGGAAATCAGGGCCTGCATCTAAGATGAAAGGCACTTATCAAAGACCTAGAAAAAAAAAATCTGTTCACCTAGTTGAACTACAGACTTCCTATGTCTTGGGCAAGAAATAAGGAAAATGCAACAGAGAAGACCCTAAACACACAAGTGTGTTTTGCACTTGTGTTCAACAAATATTTCAATGTGGCAATTAGAGGACCCCTATTTATTGGTGTAAAAGTTCAAGGACTTCTGGGGGAGCAGAAGGTAGTTATTACAAAATAAGAAAGAGTTATTTGAAGTTCAAATAGCTTTTTCTGCTCTCAAAATATGCATTATACCTTTATCCTCCCAAAAAAGCAGCAAAGGAAAGTACAGAACTTTCTTTCATAGAGTTCTAGTAGTCTGCCATCTTCCGGAGTCAGCAGGGAAGTGGAAACAAAGCAAGTTGAGAAGAGAGAAGACAGCTCTAACTGCAGAACAACACACTTACAGCAGCGCGCACTGGCATGACTTCAGAGAATCGCTGATGCCTTCCCTTCACACTCCCTCAGAAGCTAACAGAGCACTATGGCAGCCAACTGTGGAAATATGCCCAGAAAACCCAAACCAAGCTCTTAACAAGAAAAGTGAAGTGCCTTGTGTCTGCATGCTGAATCAGACCAGAAACAAAGACTGACCTGCACGGGTGAACTGAGCACATGGGAGGTGGAGGGAGATGAGGATGGTTTTCAATGGTCACTGTTTTCTTGACATGATCTTGACTGATATCTTCATACATATGCTCTACTGTTAAAGGCTGCCGTTGCTATATGGGGAAAAGGAACACGAGAACAAAAGCATTACTAACAAAGAATTGCTGAGAAGTAGCAAAAGATTCTAACATCGCTACCAGATGAAGCACCATAAATTGTAAGCACCTAATACACAACAGTTCTGAGGGTACACTGAAAGAATAGAGTGTGTTAAAATCCATATGGTACAGAAATAGTACTGCACAAATTTTTGGTTTTAATATAGCAGGTGAATTGTAAAGTCAATATATTTGAGTACTATCTAGGTTTCCATCTAGGTATTCAAGCTGTAAGCCCTATCAAGAAACTTGGTCATTAAAGAGAAGAGTGATTTATCTAATCCTCTCCCTCTGAAGACCAGGAAAACACATACCTACTTAATTGACTAAGTTTATTGGGATTATTACTAGCTCTACAGAGCTAACGAACTCAAATGACAGAGCATGATTTCCTACCTTCCAAGTGTGCTCTGTTACCAAGTACAGTTTTCAGTGAAATTGTTCCCGCTTCCTGCAAGTACCGTAAATCTTGCCTGCAATCCTGACTGTATAATGGTTTTCTCACCATTTTTTCCTTTACATTTCTACTGTGAATAAGCAACAAAATAGCCTTGCTATTTGACATAGTGAGTCTAATTTCACAGAATTGTGAAAAAAACCAACGTAGCTATACCTCATCATATCCAAATAACCAGAGCCTTGGAGTTTGGTAATATTTGTCATAAGTGATGTAGAGGTCGTAAGTTCTAGTCTGTAGAATAGCATCCTCCCCTCCAACATCAACTTTAGCTTTGTTAGCTTCTACAATCTGTCTTGTGTCAAGCGTTGCCTGGTTCAAGGTAAAGAAGACAACATTAGTATAGTCTTGTTTGGGTTCCCTCCTTTCTCATCCTAAGTAGTTATGCAAAGCTTTAAAACTGAAATTAATGTTCTTAAGTGAGCATTAAAAAAACAAAGGGTTTTGGGGTTTGTTTTAATTTAAGTTAGGAGTATCAGTTTCTCTCCCACCCAGTAGTTTTTGGGTTTGTTTTTGCTGGTTTTTTTTTATTTTTTAAAAAGGGTCTGATTTCTTAAGGAAGCATGCAACTACATTGTGACATCCCCTTCCCTTCTTTCACCAGTAACTTTTGAAGCCAACAGATGATTCCAATGAAATTCAGTAGGCAGAGGTCTCAGTTTATGCAAGTTCATGAAGACCATAGCAGAGTACCACAAATAACGATGCCCTCTGCTTTCTCTCAGTACGATTTCGTGCATCAGTGTAGTCTATTCAACCAATAAGCAACTCATCCTCCACCTGTAAGTCTCAAGAACAACCACTGCATTTTTTTTACCTCTTGTGAATACAGCACTGTGTGTAACCAGAGTGAAAAGGATCAGCAAAAATATCAAAATTACTGTGATCAAAATCTTTGAGAACCTAAGAGTTAAGGTCATTGCAGTACGTTGGCAGGAGACAAATCCATAGGAAACCAGGCTCAGTAATCCCATTGCTCCTAACAAGCTTGTTATGCCATCCACTTGTTATCATTATTTTTACTTTGCTTGTGCTCATATTGGTGATAAGCATTGTTACAGACAAAACAGAGAACTGTTCACTCACATCATCTGTCTCCAAAAGCCCACTTTCTTCGTACTCTGAAAAGAAGACCCATAAAATTCTGTGTTCAGCTGGTAGCTAGTTGTCATATTTCTCATTCATAAACAACTCCTTTAAAACAATCTACATGTATCTGAAGAGGTTTTACTCAGGTAGACTTCCCAATCCCCAAACCAGACTATACCTTTTTTAATACGAATTTGACCAAAACTACAATAAGTACATGATGATCAATCCTCAAAGTGGTTTTAAGTAGGCAGATTGAGTTTAAGTGTAGGTATGAAGCAGGAAGGAAGCTGTGCTAAATCCCTAATTTATACTTGCTTGGATCTCTTCTGCTACTTTTTATTTCCCAGTCACTAACATTCACGCAGGTTTTGGCACACAAGTTAGTAAACATGCTTCTATAAGACCATACAATAGATGATAAACAGCATATGCCTGCTGAATTTTTCAACATGCATTCCATGAAAAGAAAGAGTAGTGTTTTCTTAGAGTGTACTGCTTTAGTTAAAGGGCTGAAATGAAGCACCTCCCACCCAATTTAAGGTAATACCTTCCATGTCTGCAGCTTCTCCTTCATCTTCCTCATCATCATCTTCACAAGATGCTGAACGTTCTGGTATTTTTATATTATCCTTTAGAAATTAAATTGAAAACACTGCTTTAAGAACTGCTGCATCTACACACCCTAACAGTCCCAGTAAACTTAAGGCGTAAGTCCAGTCAATACATACAATGAACGGGAAAAATAATAATAAGGAGAAGGTTTACAATGAACTCAAATATTCACTTATTAAGCAATCTTAGTTTAAAAGTCCTAGTATGACATTAAAAATCTGCTTTAAAAGTTCTCATTTGACTTTGTAATCTGGAATGATTTAATTCCTAAGCAAAGAATAAAACCCACTGTGTTCAACAGCCCATAATTTCTTTTCAAAAAACCCACCTATCATAAATAAAAGGCAATGACTAAACATGTAGGTTAAGACTTTGTATGTCCTAACGCACAGCCAACTGTGCAGCAGCTATCATAGAACGCCTCAAGTTGGAAAGGACTCATAAAGATGATTAAGTCCAACTCCCTGCTCCTCATAGGACTACCAAAAACTAAATCATATGACTAAGAGCATCATCCAGTTCCATAATCTAAGAGTGTCATCCAATTCCGTAATTGCTTTTAAAATACAAGGGAGTCCCAAAAGATATCACATTTTGATATCATTGTCTGAGGATGCACAGTCCAGCAGAAACAAATACAGCACAAGCCCTCAGCCAACCTTTTCTTTTGGGCATTGTGGGCCTCTGCATGGCATTTGAACCCAACAGACAAGTCCAGTGAAATTCAGACTGGAGACGTCTCAATTTACACAGGTTTCATGAAGACTTTAGGAGAATATTCCAAATAATGATAATAATTAGAAGCTGCTCTAATTGTAAGCATCAGGTGGCTGGTTTCCTCACTAAAAAAAAAAAAAACCCACACCAAAACCAGTAAGAAACTAAGTTGTGAAGTGCTTTGGCAAACAGACCATTAGCAGAAAAAGAGTTGTCCTATGGTCCAAGAAATGAAGTACTGTACAACAAGCAAAATATTAAAGTGAAATCCAATTAGTAACACACACCAGCAGTTATGAATCATGATAACATTCTGCAAGTATTGTGCTTTGCAGAAATAGTGATGACTTCCAGGTATTCTTTAGAGTGTTTCTTCCACCCCTATGTTAGTGACTTGTGAAAAAAGTGGTATTTTTCCTATGTTCAGCATAGCCCACTTGAAATACATGGACTCCACAGTTCATGAGAGCAGTAGCATTTGAGCTGTTCACAATTGTACAGTAGCATGTAGCAGCCCATTTTCTTTCCCCCTAAATTTAAGAATCCTAACCTTTGCGCTTGGATGGTTTAACAAACTTCCATAGCACACAGAGAGAACTCCATCTTAACAACCAACTCATCTTTAAAAGCATTTTGTGTCTCTATGACTTTCTCCACATTTCTTAAACATGTTAGCTAAAACATTTCAATTTCGAGTACTTCCAACTGTTCTTAGTTTCCTGAGGACTTAAGTTTCAGATTTGGCTCCTGCTGCAGAGTGACTTTTTGGAAACGTGCAGAAACTGATGACTTTATAAGATGTTCACATTTAAACAGTTTTAGAACTTCTAAAGTTGAGGGCAAAAGCCTGTCAAGCAGGACCAAATGTGTTAAAATTCTGCTTTCAGTAGTTAAAGATTATGAAGAAATACTTTACATCCCTACATTATTTTTCCATGTAAAAATTTCTTTACGCTGTATCTCCAAACATTACTTTGAGACACAAAGGTGTGATATCACTGTAAACAGAATTTAATTTTCCATTTGTAGAATCCTGTCACGAGACCACATTGGCTAAAGACATTCCAAGAAGAACACTGCCTCAGTAAACAGAGTAATAAGGAGATGCACATGTTTAGACGAATATCACGGGTTCTGAAGGTCAATGTATATCTGCAACACATCTAGTGACAAAGTATATTTTAATCTTCCATAGGCAGTACTAGATTGCTGCACGTAAGACTTCTATGTCCTTTATGTCCTGTACTGAAGAGGAGAATTTAGAAACAAGTACCTTACTGTCTAGTGTGATCTCCTTAACTGCTTCTGTTGCACCCACTATACCTGTTAATTGAACAAGAAGTTTGCATTAGAACAGTTTCTTTCTTTGTTACAGAGCAGTACAGAAAGAGGTTGCAAAGATTTCAGAAAGCAGCATATGATCTGAGTTACATCTCGCAACAATTTTGACATTTGAAGGGCTGTTTATTTGGTATCGGCAGCATGCTTGGTGCTGGATATCCATAAACAACCTGCATTAGTAACATGGAGCACAACAGCACAGCTCTTGCACGTCATACAAATTCTGTTGATGGAACACTGCAAAGTAATTGGGATTTTTATTTTAAGGAATTTTTGCATAAAAGCAGGCTCACGATGGGCATTCACGTCACAATAATGGAATTCAACTTCATGAGCAAGGCATGCATTTCTGAAAATTTCTGAGCATCTTGAAGCCACAGTGTTCAGGACAAAGCATAATGTAGCAGAACACTCAACGCTTTTAGCCAAGAGGAAGCAGAGGTAAACAACATCCCAAGTCACAGTAGTATAAACTCTGAGTTCCTCCCCATTAGCTTTCTAGCTTTACTGCAGCTCTCACCCAGTACTCTTTGGGATACATGACAAGATTCTATTTGACACAGTATATTGATCAAACTAACTCTTCAGCTGAAAATAAATTACATCATTATGGAGAATGAACTTGGATTCAAGTTAACTGCTGATCAGAAACAACTGTTTAAAGAAAAGGAATGCCAGTTGAATGCTGCTTAGAAACAATCCATTCCTAGTGGCTGTGTGATTATTTACACAAATTTTCTTCCTAGCAGAAAAAGTGGTGTTATAAAGGACGTCTATACAGATGGGTGGAAACAGATTTTTTTAATTTCCTTTGACACTGTTTGGAGACCTGGCCAGGTCCAGTTTGAGTGTTACAGTTGTGCTACCACAGCATGGTGCCCAAATCAGTCGACTCTAAAAATAAAAACTTGGCAGAGGAGTCTATCCACAACAGGGATGGAGAGTGCAGTCCTAATTCAAGGATATGAAAAAGCTATGCCAAACGATTTCTTTGGTGTGGGGTGTTCAGTTATGAACTATGATACATTTAATGGCCAGTGATGAAGAAATGTACATCTACAGAAACAAAAGGCATCTTCTCACACCCTTCTTTCTCCCCAGCCTGGCTGAACTATTTAGAGAACTTCTTCCACATTACAGCAAAAAAATTATACCAAAGAAAGTAAAAACTGAGTGGAGTACCTTCTCGGTTTGGAGATGGTGGAGAAAACATCATTGAAAGACAGAATTTTATTAACTCAAGATAAAACATCAAGAAACAGACTAAACAAATACAATTGCCAATTCTTAGAAAAGATTTAGATGAGGCTGTGCTAGAAAGGCTAATGAGATTAATCTAAGCAGTAGTTTTTAGACTTCTTTATAAACACAAGCTCATCTAAGGACATAGTGTAAAAAAGGATCATCTCCCACACTCACCTCCATATTTAATAACATTTTCTTTCTTTTTTAGTGCCCTGCCCCTCTTCCCCCAGTTACTAAGATAATAGGTATTTTCTAATGATTCCCCCTTTTAGCTCAATTCAACAGAATATGAAACACTGAAATAAGTCAGTTGAGGTCATCATTAAGATAAAGATCTCAACACACTTCACATGTAATCTTACTAAGAAAAATCTGCACATTCTTTAAACCAGCATTCTCTTCATAGGACCTCTTTACTAAGGAATGAGCCACTATACAGGTCATTTTAAAAAATAACTTCCTAGAACTTTAATAAGACAATATTGAAATAACTTATTGTCAACACCTCTAAAAAGTAGCCCGTTTCAGGGATATAAAGCCATACAGACAAACACCTGAGCAGTCATGTACCAATCAAGCAGTTAGCTGGCAATGTAACTTATTTCTTCCAGGTTAGATACTAATGCACAGCCATCCATATACAAGAAAGATTTTACCTTCTAAGAGTGGAAACAATCTTTCAGATTACCAAACGCAAAGTCTGAAGCAAGACTTTGAATACCTGCATTGTGAAAAGTGTCTACCCATCCCCCATCACCATCATCTTCTTCTATAATTGCTTCCTGCTCATCTGAGTACTCCATCTGCTTACACCTTTTGTAGCACGGCACTGCAAAAAAAATCATAAAACAAAATCAATGCAGTCATTCCTATACAAAACCAGACTGGGGCAAGAAATTATCCTACAAGGCCTTCTGAAACATGATAGTCTCTCATATATCCTTATTTAAGGAATCCTAAAGCTGTATTTCAAATACAACATATTTTTCTCATTTGCTAACAGCTGGAGACAACCTATTAGTTTTCTTCACATTGCTAAATAACTTCTAAGTACAACTTTGCCTGGATTAGCATCAGTTTACCAAACTGATTTGTCTTTAGGATTTTGCTAAAGTTTGATCAACTATTTATGTGATATATTAGGTACGTTTAATTGAAAATTAATATCTAGAAGTTTAGAACAGGTTAGAACTAATGTGTTACTGAAAATAACTTCAATCTTATGTGTTACAGAGCCATTCAAGTACAGGTTTATACAAAGTTTCCAGAAAACAGTCAAAGAAAGAACGCAGATCTGATTAAGGCAAATCAGACATTTTCCAACATTATAAACTATGTAAAAAATGCTCCTTTTCTACTAACGTGGAGGAAAAAAAATGTGCTGCACAATGTGCAGAATTTGTAAATTGCTCTTAGACCTTCAGAAAGGCAGAAGAGGGGTGCGAAAGACACAGTGAAGTTCTCCAAAGGCTTCCAAAATGAGGTCCACAGGATGGCTCCTGGCCTCACCCAC